TAACACTGGTGACTGCTGGTGAGGCGGTTCAGAAGACGGAACATTTCTGCCTGTCCCTTGGCCCACCCACATTTTGAGGCCTGGACAGTCACTGAATCTTCACCTTGCTCAGTCTGGATTTCAGAAAGTTGGTGGAAAGTACACATTCTCTTTTGGCTCCATTTAGCCACGAATTTTTGAAGTACCCTCATATGTTATTTAATAGGGCTAGAAAGTGCTTGGGTGTTGGATGGAGTCTCACAGATACAGAAAAATATTCTGGTTACTACCTGAAAATTGGGGCTATAGGAATCCGCCTCTTGGGTATATTATAAAAACTAATGTAAAGGAAATAACATCTAGGAAACATCTAGGAAAATCTCTAATACACAGGCAATTTCAATATTGATATTTATATGATTATTATGGGATTAGTGTAGATAGGAAAAAGATGCCATTCCTTCTCTAACAAAATTTACATTTGAAGCATACAGAATTTTAATTAGTTTTTGTGGGAACTTATTCATTCAACCCAAATAAATATACAAACGAATCACTCTCTTTAGAAAACACGTCATCTCACCTTTGTTGCTTCATGGACTATTTGGAACCTGGTGCTGTCCTGGCCTGTTGTGACTGTATCTAGTACTGCCCGATAGGTGGACTTCTTTAAGAGCTGCTGTTTCTGACGCCTACAGACATGGAGGATAGAGACAAATGAGAATTATCTGTGACTGTCAGCATCCACTAGACTATATTATCACTCAGAAGTCATTAAAATTCCCTGTGGTAGTAAGTGAATTGGGCACAGTGAGAGTCTGTATTATTAAAGTGCTAATAAAATTAGTACCAAAAGGAATACCAAAGAAATTATTCAACATAATTCTGCTTGAGGGTGGCACCTTGTCTCCTTTATTGAAAAGATGGGGCAAGTTTCATAGATGTCATTTATGAGCTGGTTAATTTCCCTTTCTCTTTCCACGAAATGGACATTTTAGTAGTAACTCCATAAATTCCATCAGAATCCAATATAATCTAAAGGTTTAATAAGCTAATCAGGCATTCACTGTGGACTTCCCTTGAAGGTACCTGTTCTGAATTAAAATGATATGCTTTTTTCTTTCTCTAGAAAAAAGAGTAGAATATTATAATATATGCAGCAATCTTTTTTTTTTTCCACTCAAAGGAAAGCTTTATTTACTTGTGACAGGTAAGGGAGACAGTGGGAAGGTATAGTTCCCTAAAGAAACTGCCTCTGAATCAATGTTTTATGATTTCAGTTTCAGGGTCAGATGAAAGTAGATCTTTTTAAAAAATCAAGACTAAAAATTAAAGACTTATTATCTATTTATTTGAAAGGCAGAGCAACAGAGAGAGAGGGAAAGACAAAGAAAAAGAGAGAGAGAGAGGGAGAGGAGGGGGGGAGAGAGGGAGAGAGAGAGAGAGAGAGAGAGAGAGAGAGAGAGAAAGATATCTGTTAGTTCTCCCCCCAGTTGGCTGCAACAGCAGGAGCTGGGCCAGGCCAAAGCCAGGAACCAGGAAGTCCATGCTGGTTTCCCAAGTGGGTGTCAGGGGTCCCAGTACTCAGGTCATCTTCTGCTGCCTTCATAGGAGCATTAGCAGGAAGCTGGATTGGAAGTGGAGTAGCTGGGACTTGAACCAGCACTCTGATATGGGATGCTGGTGTTGCAAGTGGTGGCTTAATCCATTGTACCACAATGCCAGTCCCTCACAAAATGAAGATTTTTAAAGATATCATTTTTGAGGCTCTGGGGGAACAGGCACATCATACAGTGGTGATGTAAGTTCAATAACACAATCTTGATTGTACTATCAATACAAAACACAATTGATTGGAAATTTGTTAATAGTTAACTAATTTCAAAGGCATTAACTCTTTGACCTACTAATCTCTGTCCTGGAACTCCATCTTACAAGTACACCCATAGATGAAAGAAATGACACATGTATAGCTCTTCATTGTGGCAGTGCTATTACTCAAAAGATTTTAAATAATCCAACAAGTTTAGCAAGAAGAGACAGACTGAATAGATTAATAGTTCATCTACCCAATAGAAAACTATGCAACTATGAAAAAGGAGAGTAATCCCCAAATACTTGATTACATTGCTCTTCAGAGCAAACTAGAAGGCAGCAAAAAGGGGAGAATATAATGGTGTACACAGAAATCTACTTGGTGTAAGAAAGGCAGTGATATAAGAATACATGTATTTACAAAAAGAAACATTGGTAGAATAAAAGAAAAATAAATTTGGTTACTTACAGGGCTAAGGTGAGGAATGAGGTAGAAGGGGGCGGGGTGGGAATATCACTCTTAAATGCATATCTTTAGTATTATTTTTGAATCATATGAAACATTATTTACTCAAAGACAAAATTCTAAAATTAGTATTAAAACATTGGCTTTTAAAATAAAATACCTGTTTATTGAAAAAAATTAAATAGTACAGTAGTAAGCATATAAATTTACAGGCGAAAGTTTCCTGTCTGATGAATTCCTTAATCATTGCATTTCCTTATTGACCCTTTCCTATACATTCTCTAACGTTTAATAGTGTCCATTTTGAAATATTGTCAGACATGTATTAATCCGGGAAATATAGTTATGTTCTTTACCTGTAGAATGCAATCTTGGTACAGTCTCTAAAAACGTTTTTATCCACAGCTTCATCTTCAACACTAAACAAAAAGACATTTTAAAAATTTTATTTTACACAAGATTTGTGATTCCAATGTGACAGAATTTCTATTACATACACAGGCAAAAATAAACCTTTGGAGTCTGTTCTGCTGTGCAAAATTGCGTCCCGCTATGACATAATGCAGCAGCACACGCTCCACAGAACACTATCCTTCTGTAAATCACTCCAAGTAAACAAGAAAACATCAAGTTCTGGATTTACCACGAAAGCAATGGAAAAAGAGCACTGTCACTTGGGAGGAAAGATTCCTTTAAAATAATGACTGAAAGCTACTACTGTAAGAGTGAAATGTGAAGGAGCAGAGAACAAAACCCCCAAACAACACAAAACCCAAACCAAGCAAGCCAGCAAACAGAAGCCTATTTCAGAATAGTCTCCCTGGGTACTGGGTTCTGAGGGAGACATCAAGGTCTGTGTGCATGCTTCCTGCCTAACCAGCAATCAACACAAGCTGTCAAATGCTATCACAGAGGTATGTGCAAGGTGCTAGAATACATCAGAAACAGACACAGGATTTTTTAAAGGTAATGCCTTAAACCAGGTGCCCAGGTTTTTAAAGGACAGGTTTCCAGAACTGTTCTGGAATAGAAAATGAACAAGACGGATGCATACTGCTACTTGAATATGTGTATTTAAGTTAGCCTTCATCCACAACCACTGACTTTTAGTGCAAAAACCCAAACTGGTTTTCACGCAGAGGCATGGATGAACGCACCTGTAGTCTGCGTGTCTAGGTAGTACACCAATGTCAAAACAGGAAATTACGCCCAGATACACTGAGCCACACTAGAATGCCTATCGTGGAAGTTAGTAAACCCTTCACTGAGCTCAGTTTTTGTCACCTCAGTTTTTAATCAAGTACTAGACATTAGAGACACTTGTAGTCTCTTTTCCGTTTTGAAGAATGAGTTTGGGAAAAGTCTAGGAAGAAGCTGAACTTGGAAAACATGTTTGACACTCGTATGTTAGCGTTCTGCTCACTTTTCCACTGTTAATCTTTTTTAACACGCCGAATGTATTTTATAAGGGGCTAACAATTAATATGGAGGTATGAGGGTACTTCAAAAAGTTAGTGGAAAAAATTAGTGGAAAAATGGGATTAAAAGGTAAACTGAGTTTGGTGCAAAAGATTTGAAATCTATGTAGTTTTTTCACAACATGCCATTTCCGATGAACTTTTGGAATTATCCTGGTATCATCTAACTCCCAACAGATCTGTGCAAAAAAAGCCCATAAAGATCAAGTGCACAAATACCAAACATCGAAGTAAGAAATTAAAAAAAAAACAAAACAACTACGAAATCGTGAGTTAGAATGTATCCCCTGAATCTTGTCCCAGGGTCAGGTCCTGCAAGCTCAGTGGAGCTTTTACCTGATTTCCTCTTTCCCAGCTGCATCCATGGCCAATGGGCCGTCTTTTCAAATTAAGACCTGCACTTCTCCACCATCAGCTTCTGGAAAACAGAGTCTCCTCCAGGTCCTCCGGGAGTGATAAATCTTGACTCTCGATCCTGGGATTTTTCAGGCGCACACGAGCATTTCTACGGGAACACGTTTGTCGGATTTTTTTTCTCAAGTCTGCGTGGCTGATGAAAACCGTGCTTTTTGGTTAGGAACCTAAACTGTCTTTGCCGCAGAGGAGGCGTGCACGCTTTGAGCCCCAGAGGGCAAGAACCAAGAGCGTGAGAACCAGGAAGCACCGCGTCCGTGACCTTTCTTGGAGCCGGGCCACTGTAGGTCTGTCTCAGAGGCGGGTCACGCCAAGGATAGGAAAACTGACTCACTCTCTCTCTCTCGATTTTGGCTTTGAGTCGTTCCTGGACGTGATGTCGCCAGCCAAACTCTACGGCAGCACCACACTTTACAGGGCTAGCAGGGGACTGTGTCCCTATTACACTCTCCAGTCCAGGAATCGTTTCTTTCTCCGCACAGCCAAATTCCAACTTTTACTTAAATACCGTCAAGACCGGTATTTTATCAGGTGGCCAGACGTACAGCTGACCCAGACCTCTGACCCGGCGTCTGAGTTTAATTTTGAAGGAATGAGGGGCTAGGGTCAGCGGGAGGAGAGAAAGTTAAACACTATACAAGGTTGTCTGCTTGGTCCTGAAATCGGTTCAGGACAGGAAGAGGAGAAAAAAAAAAAAAAAAAAAAAAAAAAAACCACAAGACCACGTCACGGTGGCTCCTGGCGACCACCCTAACCCAGTTGACGAAGTTCTGACAGAGCGGCGCCTGCGCAGTAGGCCCACGGAACTGTGACGAGAGTCCGAGGGAGGGGCCACCGGATAGCAAAACAAACAGGCCCCCGGGAGGTCTGGAAGACCCGGATGATCCCGCCCCCGGAGCAGAGCCGGAAGAAGGCGGGTCGAGCCGGAAGAAGGTGAAATGCTTTCGGTGGGTGCTCCACGGCTGTGAAGATGGCGGCGGCTGCGTGGCTTCAGGTGCTGCCTGTCACTTTTCTTCTTCTAGGGGCTCAGCCGTCCCCACTGTCGCTTTTTGGTGCAGGACCGGCACCTGTGTCTGCAGCCGACCGATCTAAGTGGCACATTCCGATAACGTCGGTGAGTGTGAGTAGCCACTGAGCCCGGAGGAGCGAGGGGTGGGGCTACGGCGGCCCAAGGGGTTCATGAAGGTTCCGCTAAAGTCCGCTCCCGAAGAGGTGGGATTCCGGGAGCTCGTGTGTCATAGGTCCCTGGAGGACAGCGGCGCACTTGTGAGGCTAGGCTGGCAGGCACGTCGGGGCCGCTTCAGCAGCAGAGAGGAGTGGTGGAGCGGTTTCTCAGCGGGAGAGTAGCAGAACTTGCAGTGCTTGACTGGAGAACTGCAAACTTGATGACCAAAGGAGAGTGGTTTCTCCCTCACCTGAAGTTTCACAGAATCCAGAATCTGCGCATCCATTCGTCCATCCATCCTTCCATCCATCTTCCTTCCTTCCTCTCTTTTCTGCTCTGCACTTAAAAAAAATCTGCATAATTCTGCTTACCAGATGGTTTGATTTCTTTTAAACTTTAGGTCATTATTTTAAGTTTCCTGGGTGATTAGGAAGCCCCCGGGCTTCGTTAAAACGGAAGAAATTATTTTCTAAAATTTAATGTGATAGAGCTGGTCTTTCCTTTGGACGTTGGCAGTTGGCCCTCTTTGCCCCACCTCCCTTTATACCTCCTTGGAGTGAGAGGTGTAGCCCTGTGAGGGCACAGCAACCAGTGCACGGGCATGCAGAAAAGCATTATCCTGTTGAAACCCCCGCGGCCTGTTGTTTCATTCTGCTCTACCATTTTCGTTTTTTTATTTGGTGCAATCTTCAGGTTCTCAATTTTTGGTTTTTACTTGTTTAATAATGTCCTTTTGGACTTTAAAATAAGTCATTCTATCACTGCTCATAGACCAGTTTATTGGAGACAAAGATTGGTTATTCTGGGCAGTGGTTAGTGAGTTACAGGAACGAACTGGTTGTGGGATACATCCAATGAAGACTAAAGTTCCAGTTTCTGATCCTGCTGTTCGGATGTCGTCTACTTTTACTAAAAGGAAGGATGTTAATGTCTTTCGGGTTAAGAAAACTTATTCGAACATGTTATGAACTCAGGTACCTACGTTCTGCCTTGAGGGTTGAGCTGTTGCTAATTATCTTTCCTTTATTGTTGTAGGGGAAAAATTACTTTAGCTTCGGAAAGATCCTATTCAAAAACACCACTATCTTCCTGAAATGTGAGTGTTTGAATTTCACGAAAGTTTTGACTTTCTTAGAAGTTATTGGTAAACTTTTAAATTACGTTGTTTTCTACTCCTCATGGCTCTCTTCAGCATATTAGGTTCTGCAGTTTGATGGTCTGGCTCTATGGAGGGATGAAGATATTTAGTGCGACTGAGGTCCTTTCACTGAATAATCTTTAGAATACTACTTGTGTGAACTTTATTGTCTTCCCTTATTTTTCTGTTTACATTGTATATGTATCACTATGTTTGTTGTATTTATACTGTATCTAACATGGTATATATGTAATAATATATATTAAGGTAGTTATGCTATATTGGACATAATATAAACAGTCACATTTCAGATGAATTGCAGTTACTTAGGTTGGATGATTGCCTGCATGGTGTCTTTTTTTTAAAATATTTTATTTATTTGTTTGAGAGGTAGAGTTATATAGAGAGTGAGAGGAAGAGACAGAAAAGTCTTCCATCTGCTGGTTCACTCCCCAGATGGCTGCTACAGCTGGAGCTAAGTCAATCTGAAGGAGCCAGGAGCTTCTTCCGGGTCTCCCATGCTGGTGCAGGGGCACGAGCATTTGGGCCATCTTCCACTGCTTTCCCTGGCCATAGCAGAAAGATGAATTGGAAGAGGAACAGCCGGGACCAGAACCGGCGCCTGTGTGGGATGCTGGTGCTGCAGGCGGAGGATTAACCTGTGCCACAGCGCCAGGCCCCTGCATGGATTTTTTGATCTGTCCTGAGGCATAGATATACCACCATTTTGTAAGCTTCTTACATAGTTAACTGAAAGCATGACCTAGGTTTGTCAGACCTTTTGCTTAGAACAAATATATTCAGTATATCTTTTATTTACCAAAGGAGTATTTTACCACCTTAAGGAAGAGGAAACTCTGAGAATATCAGGAAAAGGGATTATGTAGGACAAAACCAGTTTGTTCAGTGGGACAACCACCGTATCTATCTAAACTATCCCATTGTGCATTAATGAAAAGCTTTCTGTTAACTCTGAAAGTGGTTTTGTTTTATAGAATGAATGATCCTCGGCAGCTCTATTTCAAGGTCAAAGGAAAAAATTAGGTCACTGATAAGTGCTTCTATATAAACCTCTCCATGAAACTACAAAATTCTAAGTTATAGTTGAATGATTTTACTTTTGTTTAGTAAGTAGCTGTTGAAAACATACCATGTGCCAAGTACTCTTTTAGATAACAGAGAAGTGATAGAAAAAGTTCTCTTCCCTCGTTGAACTAACATTGTAGTGGGATATAAAATTTTGCAGGTAGAATTTCTCTGAAGAATATACTATATACAATTTCCCAAGTACAGACTTGATTTTTTCCAGAATAGCCTTTCTTGTATGATTGGCTTCCTTGGTAAGGGTAGCTGTTAGGGATAGTAGGATTTTTTTTTAAAGATTTATTTATTTATTTATTTAAAATCAGAGTTACACAGAGGGAGAAGGAGAGGCAGAGAGAGAGAGAGAGGTCTTCCATCTGCTGGTTCACTCCCCAGTTGACCTCAACAGCTGGAACTGCGCCGATCCAAAGCCAGGAGCTTCTTCCAGGTCTCTCACGTGGGTGCAGGGGCCCAAAGACTTGGGCCATCTTCTACTGCTTTCCCAGGACATAGCAGAGAGCTGGATCGGAAGTGGAGCAGCTGGGACTTGAACTGGCGCCCATATGGAATGCTGGCACTGCAGGCAGTGGCCCCACCTGCTAAGCCCTAGCACCGGCCCTTAGTAGGATTTTGACTCCTGTGATAGGCTGGCAGCCTGTTTGCTCTTCTCTGTATCATATACAGTATTTTTCTCACCTGTATTTTGATCGAAGTGTGTTTGGCCACGTTAAACAAACTGAGTGCCCACATATCATTGTTTTTATAGGATTTGGGCTTCTTAAACTTCACTTTATTTTTTTCTTTGTTACTTCTATGCTTCCTCATGTTTATCGCTTGTGTCTGAGTTTGTACTTCTGTGGATGTGATATATAGCTTTCCATAGAATAGGCGGGACTATTTGCACTATTTCTTTTTTTTTGTTTGTTCTTTTTGACAGGCAGAGTTAGACAGTGAGAGAGAGAGACAGAGAGAAAGGTCTTCCTTTTTCCGTTGGTTCACCCCCAACTGGCTGCTACAGCTGGCACACTGCGCCGATCCGAAGCCAGGAGCCAGGTGCCTCCCCCGGTCTCCCATGTGGGTGCAGGGCCCAAGCACTTGGGCCATCCTCCACTGCCTTCCCAGGCCACAGCAGAGAGCTGGACTGGAAGAGGAGCAGCCGGGACAGAACTGGCACCCCAACCAGGACTAGAACCCGGAGTGCCGGCGCCGCAAGGCGGAGGATTAGCCTAGTGAGCCGCGGTACCAGCCTGCACTGTCTCTTAAAGCCTTCCATTGAAAGTTTTGAACCTCATGTTTTAGCACAAATTTTCCCTGAAAATTATCTGTTAGGAATGTTTTCTTACTGGCTTTTAATTAAATAATTCTGTTTTCTGTATAAATTCTTCTGAACAGTTCACAGCCAGTTTACAATATTATTGTCATTTCCATAAATTCTCTTCAACAAGTCAGATTTTTACATGTTCTAATAAAGTCCTCTCAAAATATGCTGGTTATTGAATAATTAGTTTGAGAAGATAATTTAAAACAAAGAAAAGGGGAAGTTTATATTGGGTTGCTTCTTTTCTTTTGTCATGATCCAAAAGTAGATTTCTGAATGTGGTCTTTTTTCTTTTCTTTTTTTTTAATCCCATTTGTATGAAGTAGGGCGTATGTTCTCCCTTCCAAATCTGGAATCAAAGATAAAGGGGGCCAATTGACTTTCCTGAGACGAAATAGCTAAATAGTTATATAGTCAGCATTTCTTTTTTTTTTTTATTTATTTTATTTATTTATTTATTTATTTTTTATTTTTTTGACAGGCAGAGTGGACAGTGAGAGAGAGAGAGACAGAAAGGTCTTCCTTTGCCGTTGGTTCACCCTCCAATGGCCGCCGCGGTCAGCGCACCGTGCTGATCCAATGGCAGGAGCCAGGAGCCAGGTGCTTTTCCTGGTCTCCCATGGGGTGCAGGGCCCAAGCATTTGGGCCATCCTCCACTGCACTCCCTGGCCACAGCAGAGGGCTGGCCTGGAAGAGGGGCAACCGGGACAGAATCCAGCGCCCCGACCGGGACTAGAACTCGGTGTGCCGGCGCCGCTAGGCGGAGGATTAGCCTAGTGAGCCGCGGCGCCGGCCTTATAGTCAGCATTTCTAAGTATTCAGGCTTAGTCTTGATCTGCTAGAATATTGTGTTCCAAACTCTGTTTAATGAGTTACTTGAGGCTTCCATGATTTCAAGAAATTCGTTGAGGCTTCTCTTAAGGTAGATTTATATAAAAAAAAATCAGAACTTTTTATCTGAGCTTTTGCTGTTTCAGTCTTCCCCAGCCATGTTTGGTTTTTGTTCATTGCCCTTTCTGTCTGATCCTGATGTCTTTCAAGGTCCAGCCATGAGATTGTCCCTCTGTGGACCTATTAATTATTCTACCATTTAGCAGTTGTGAAGATTGCCTTGTGACATCCTTGATGCTGTTCTTTGTCTCTGTCTCTGTTAGTCCTGCACATTCCCCTCTCTAGCCCAATGCTGTGTCATTGTATCTCTGTATACTTGAACTCTACTCATAAAATATTTGAATGGTGGTAGAAGATTGGTTTTAATTTAAGACCGCATTATCACTCCCAAGCTTTTCCCAGTAGAGATCTAGAAATTGAGATTTTTAAGGCATGAAATAAATATACCTATGGTTTCAAAAGGTTAAAAGCTCCTTACTACAGTTTTCTTTCGGTGAACAACAGTTCTTTTCTCTGAAGAATGTCAAGTTCATTTTACATATATTTACTTTATTACTCTGTGTTTGTAGAAGGGATGGTGTTTGAGTATCTCAGGTTAGGGTAGTAAAGAAATGGGATATAGGTTAATAGTTTAAGGAAAATGCTTTGTTTGGGAACCATCTTTTATTTTCCACGATTTTTTACATTACAGTTGATGGAGAACCTTGTGATCTATCTTTGAATATAACCTGGTTTCTGAAAAATGCAGATTGTTACAATGAAATCTACAACTTCAAGGTAAGGAAAATAAAATTAGACTTTTCTTGGAGCTTAGAGATTATCTGATCCCAAACTGTTAATATTATAGAGGAAAGACTATCATGTAGCCATGGGGAAACAGAGCTGAAGCCAGAATTCATGCGTCCCAGTTTGTGTACCTACTGTATCAGCAATTCTCAAATGTTCTTTTCAGAACTCTTTTAACAGTCTTTTTTATTTTTTTAAGATGTATTTATTTATTATTTGAAAGGCAGATTTACGGAGAGGCAGAGGCAGAGGTAGAGGCAGAGAGAGAGGGGGGGGGGGTCTTCCATCCTCTGGTTCACTCCCCAAGTGACCACAACGGCTGGAGCTGGGCCAGTCCGGAGCCAGGAGCTTCTTCCGAGTGTCCTACGTGGGGGCAGGGACCCAAGCACTTGGACCATTCTCTACTGCTTTCCTAGGTTCATTAGCAGAGAGCTGGATTGGAAGCAGAGCACCAGCGTCTCAAACCGTCTTCCACATGGGATGCTGGCCCTGTAGGCGGCAGCTTTTTACCTGCTATACCAAGTGCCAGCCCTTTTTTCTTTTTAAATGTTTTACTACATTGACACTTTCTAGCATCTTTTAAGATTTATTTATTTATTTGAAAGGCAGAGTTTAGAGAGGCAGAGTCAGAAAGAGACAGAGAGAGATCTTCCATCTGCTGGTTCATTCTCCAAATGCCCGCAGTGACCAAGCTGGGCTGATCTGAAACCAGGAGTTAGGAACTTCTTTTGGGTCTTCCAGGTGGGTGCAGGGGCCCAAGGACTTGGGCCATCTTCTTCTGCTTTCCCAGGCCATAGCAGAAAGCTGGATCAGAAATGGAGCAGCTGGGTCTTGAACCGGTGCCCACATGGGATGCTGGCACTGCAGGTGATGTTTTTACCTGCTACACCAAAGTGCCATCCCCTCAAGCAACTCTTTTAAATATATTTCATGTGACAAAGTCCTCTGGAATCTGGCTGTTTCCTGATCTTCCCCACATTGTTAGTGGAGCTACCCTCTGTGAGCCAAAGACTAGAATTCTGTGCTTGAGCATTTACTAGCATCAGATTTTTTGTTTTTTAAGATTTATTTTTATTTGAAAAGCAGATTTATAGAAAGAAGGAGAGACAGATACAGAGGGAAAGAGAGAGAGAGACAGAGACAGAGATCTTCCATCTGCTGGTTCACTCTCCAGACGACCATAATAACTGGGGCTGGGCCAGGTTGAAGCTGGGAGCCAAAAAGTCCATCTGGATCTCTGATGTAGGTGCAGGGTCCCATGTAGTCGGGCCATCTTGTGCTGCTTTCTCAGTACATTAACAGGGAACTGGATTAGAAGTGGAGCAGCTGGGACTCGAATTTGCACTCATTTGAGATCCTGGCATCACCTACTGTGCCACAGCACCAGCCCCTAGCCTTTAGATTCTTATGTATTGTTTTCTAGTCTTTGTCTGATGCTGTTAATATTTATAGTAACAAATTATATTTGTGTTGTAGATGATCTTTTTGGTATTTAAGTATCTTATTTGTGAATGATTGATTGAAGATTTCGTGTCTTCTCTGTTTTTCCAGGCAGAGGAAGTAGAGACATATTTGGAAAAACTTAAGGAAAAAAGAGGCTTGTCTGGGAAATATCAAACGTCATCCAAGTTGTTCCAGAACTGTAGTGAACTCTTTAAAACACAGGTAATCTTTCAAAGTAGTTGACAAGAAATAGAAGAGGTAAAAAATGTGATATCTGTATTTTTGCCTGTGTTCATTTCCCGTCTCCTTGTTATTTCTTCTAGCCGGAATATGTTGGAAGTATGTTCTGATAGATGCGTAGTCAGCTGCTTTCGTACTCATCAGAGGGAGGGTGTGCTTTCCTTTGTGTGTAGAGCAAACCCCTAATTTACAGAACAGAACAATCGCTGTTTTAACCATTTGTAAGCATACAGTTGGGTGGTATTAAGTGCGTTCTCATTGTTGTGCAGCCACTGCCACTCCTGGTCTGTTTCTAGAACTTCCTATTATCACAAGCCAAAACTACATCCATTAAATGATAACTCCCATACTCCCCCAGTCCCTACAAAGTACTGTTCTACTCGCTGTTTGTATGAATTTGATTAGTCTACAGATGCCCTATAAGTAGAATCATATAGTTTTTGTTCTTTCTCTGTGTGGTTTTTTCACTTAGCATAATATTTTCAAGATTTATACATGTTGCAGAATTTGCTGTATCAGAATTTCATTCCTTTTTAAGACTGAATAATTGTACATTGTGTGTAAATACCACATTTTGTTTATCCATTCATTTCTCAGTGGACATTTGAAAGCTCACATTTTTAATCACTGTTGCCTCATCTAATTGATATGTCCTCAGATAAACCAGAGTCTTTAGGTTTTATTGTTACAGATCTGAACTCAAGAGTCTAATCGCTGCCTTAGGGTTGAATCTCATACCTTGTTTTAGGGAAAAAGGAAGCAATGAATAATAGTTCTCCATATATGTTATATATATGTCATAGAGATTCTGATAGGAAATTCTGTTTTCTAGGAAATAGGATAAATAGGATCTAATACCAATGTTTTGATAGAAAAATTTTATAGGTGTTAAAAATACTGTAATTACAGTCTTTGTTTTATCCTTACCGCATTTATTTTTAAAAGATTTGTTTATTTAAAAAAGCAAGAGACAGAGAAAGAGCCAGAAATATTTCAGTATCTTCTGTTCACTATTTCACTCCCCAAATGGCCACAACAGCTAGGGTTAGGCCAAGCTGACACCAGAAGCCAGGAACTCCCTCCTGGTCTCCCACGTAGGTGGCAGAAACTCAAGTCTGTGGGCCATTCTCCGCTGTCTTCCCAGGCACATGAGCAGGAAGCTGGACAAGAAGTGGAGCAGTACAGACACAAACCAGCACTCCAACATATGATGCCAGCAGCAGGAGCTGCAACTTAACTCACTGTGGTACAATGTTGGTGCCCCCAACCACATTCAAAAATCGTTTTGAAGGTGGGGATTGTGGCACAGTTGCTTGGAATGCTTCCATCCCATATCTGAGTGTCAGTTCAAGGAGTCTTCAGCTTGAGTGTCAGTTGAAGGAGTCTTCAGCTACCTGTGCTTCCGGTCCAGCTTCCTGCTAATGGGCCTTGCCTGGGAGATGGCGATTGACGGCCTAAGTGCTTGGATTCCTGCCACCTAAGTGGGAGAACCGGATGGAGTTCCTGGCTCCTAGCTTTAACTTGGCTCAACTCTGGCTGTTGGGGGCATTTGAGAAGTAGATGGAAGATCTCTATCTCTTTCTCTCTGTCACTCTGCCTTTCAAATAAATAAGTAGATGATAAATAAGTAAATCTTTCTAAAATAAATGTTTTGGGGGATGGTGTTGTGGCACAGTGGGTTAAGCTGCCACCTCTCATACTGGCTTCCCATATGAGCACCTGTTTGAGTACTGGCTGCTCCATCTCCCTGCTGATGCACCTTAGAAAGCAGTGGAGAATGACTGAAGTACTTGAGCCCCACAACCCATGTTGGAAACCCAGATGGAGTTCCAGACTGCTGGCTTCAGCCTAGCCTGGCCCTGGCCATTATAGCCTTTTGGGGAGTGAACCAGTGGATGCAAGATCGACTCTCTCTCTCTCCCTTTCTCTGCCACCCACCCGCCCTTCTCTCCCTCTCCCTCTATAACCCTCCCTTTCAAATGTTATTTTATTTTATTTTAAATTTATTTATTTGACAGGTAGAGTTATAGACAGAGACAGAGAGAAAGTCTTCCCTCCGTTGGTTCACTCCCTAAATGGCCGCTGCACCATTCTGAAGCCAGGAGCCAGGTGCTTCCTCCTGGTCTTCCATGTGGGTGCAGGTGCACAAGCACTTGGGCCATCCTCCACTGCCTTCCCAGGCCACAGCAGAGAGGTGGACTGAAAGAAGAGCAACCAGGACCAGAACCTGGCACCCATATGGGATGCCGGCGCCGCAAGGCGGAGGATTAACCAAGTGAGCCACGGCACCGGCCCCTCTCCCTTTCAGAAAAATAATAAAATAAATATTTAAAAAATATAATGTTTTGGAATACTTAGCAAATTGCTTTGAAGAAGCAAAGAGTTCACCAAAAGCTAAATTATCTCTCCAGTTAACAGAAAGTAAAGTCTTACTGTCATTAATGAAGACTTTAATAATTGATGGTTGAGTTATAAGAGCTTAGCTCTTGTCATAGTTCAGTTTTTGTGGACTTCGAGGGAAATGAACATAGCTTTATTTTTTTTTAATCTTTTATTTTTTAATTAATTTATTTAGTTTTGGACAGTCAGAGTGGACAGTGAGAGAGAGAGAGAGAGAAAGGTCTTCCTTTACCATTGGTTCACCCTCCAATGGCCACTACGGCTGGTGCGCTGCAGCTGGTGCACCGCGCTGATCCGAAGGCAGGAGCCAGGTGCTTCTCCTGGTCTCCCATGGGGTGCAGAGCCCAAGCACTTGGGCCATCCTCCACTGCACTCCCTGGCCACAGCAGAGAGCTGGCCTGGAAGAGGGGCAACCAGGGCAGAATCCGGCGCCCTGACCAGGACTAGAACCTGGTGTGTTGGCGCCACAGGCGGAGGATTAACCTAGTGAGCCGCGGTGCCGGCCTGAATTATACACTCTTAAAACGCAGAAAGGAGAATGTCTCATCCGGTGCAAAGCTTTATGGCTTTAAAACTCATTTTCCTCATATGTAGAATGAGAGGGAGTTTTCTAAGATCCCTTAACTTAAGCATATATCCTGTATTCATGGCTTGGTTATTCTTTTTTTACCCTTACAGAAAAATTGAGTGGCCAGTTTGATTTGATACTGTTTTGTTCACTGGTTTGTGTTTAGTTGGAGATGCTTGTCTGGTGATACTGTTTTAATGTATTTACTGTTAGGGTATTATGTTTTGCTTTAGCCATTTCTGTGTATTTTGACCTTCGCTTTTAGTACTTTCCTTTAATTTTAGTTTTATGTGTCTTTTCTAGAGCTTTTCTGGGGATTCTGTGCATCGACTACCTCTTCTAGGAGAAAGACAGGAGGTAATTGTTTTCCTTATGTGTTTCTGAGAGTAAAGTAAAAACTCTGAATTAATTTTCTTTTCTTTTTTTATGTTTAAAGGCTAAAGAGAATGGAACAAATCTTACCTTTACTGGAGATAGAACTGTAAGTGTATTTGGAAATTTGGCTCATTGAATACACATTTTATTTTATGCTTGTGTATTATTAAGTTGTTCTGTGTATGATAACGTTTATAGAAAAACTTCAGACTGGAAGCTTTATACTGAAGTGTTAATAATTGTTGTTTCTGGATGAAATCATGAGTGCTTTAATTTTCTTTTTGTGTTTTCCTTATTTCTATATTAAGCTTGTTTTGATTTTGTGATTATCCCCACCCTCAATAAATATTTGTAAACAGAAGCTTATTCAAAAGAACCGTTAATGTCATCTAAACTTACCTGTGGTAGAACATAATTGTAAGAGATTTTGGAAAGTTGAAGTGAGGTCATAAGCCATAAATATGCCTTAGATTTACATAAATACACATTGTATGAATGCTTATTGTACATTCCCAATTCAGAATTACTAAGTCTGAAAACTTTTTTTTTTTTTTTTTAAGATTGATTGATTTATTTGAAAGGCAGAGCTAGCTACAGAGAGGCAGAGGCAGAGAGACAGACAGAGGTCTTCTATCCACTGGTTCACTCACCAGATGGCTGCAATGGCTGGAGCTGAGCCAATCCGAAGCCAGGAGCCAGGAGCTTCCTCTAGGTCTCCCATGCAGGTGCAGGGGCCCAAGGAGTTGGGCCATCTTCCACAGCCCTCTCAGGCCATAGAAGAGAGCTAGATTGGAAATGGAGCAGCCGGGACTCAAACTGGTGTCCATATGGGATGCCGGCACTGCAGGTGGCAGCTGTACCCGTTACGCCACAGCACCAGCCCCTGAAAACTTTAGTTAAAAAATATAGAGAAAGGAAGAAAATATGTTGGATCATGTTTTTTGTAAAACTAATTAGATGTCTACATTTTATAACAACATTTTAAAGACATAGATATCACAAAGTTTACCCTTGTAAAACATAAAGTTTAGTTTTTTGTTTTGATTTGTTTTTTAGTACATGCATAAGTTGTGTAGCCACCAGCTGCTATCTAGTTCCAGAATCTTCATCATTCCAGCAATTGGCCCCTTACCCCTTATTTACTTTCTGTCTCTGGATTTGCCCTTTCTGGACAAGTGATATAAGTGGGATCATACAGCATGTGGCCATATGGGCACTGGTTCTAGTCCCAGCTGCTCCTCTTCTGATCCAGCTCTGTGCTGTGGCCTGGGATAGCAGTAGAAGATGGTCCAAATCCTTGTTTCCTGGAGTATAGTTTTTGAACTCTTGTTTTAGCCTTTTCTTGGATTTTAACATGTTTGAACATTTGTAAAAAAGCTGTGGCTCCCCAGGAAAACGCGTGCCTGTGCAGAATCTTAGGGGTTTCATAGATCAGTGAGGCTTACCCAGAGAAGGCTGGACAAGAGCTTCTCCTTTCAAGATTAGACAGTAATCAGTTGAGTCTAGGAAGCTAAGTGCTTTCGCATGTAAGGAGGAAGAAACATCTCTGTGTTCATCCTCTATACCTCAGTCTTGTATTTGGGAAGACTAGTCAGTGTGGAAAGCAAGAGTCACTACCTCACAGCATCAGGGATGTAGAGGCTGTTAACCTGACCCCTCACTTACGGGCAGTGACTTGTCCCCAGCATGGCGTAGCCCAGAATTACATTTTTGATATAAATATGAGACCATGTGAGTAGAAATTCTGGTAGTCTTGAACCAAGAGATTTAGATTTAGGAATAGATGTTTGTAATTTACATTCGCTAATATCCTGATGGATTTTTTTTTAAAAAAAGAGGATTTAAGTAATCTTTAGTTTTAAATTCCTTAGTTTCATGATTTCTAGGTAAAACACTTGGCATGACTTAATGAAACATTCAGATTAAGGATCTTAGTTGTGGTTTCCCTCCTAAAAATAAATATGTTGGTTGTGATTCTGGAATAACAGGATATGAGATGTCCTGCTTGTTAGTAATTCGTAGTCTAGATTACATTAGTACGTATGCATTCCACACTTAAGTGGCTTGTTGGGTCTGCTGTGTTGACGAGGGAAATGAAAGGACTCTACTGTGTTCCTGGGCATCCTGTAGACCAAAATTTTCATGTTGTATTACTAACTTGTGCTCTTAATTCTTAAGACAAGATTTGATGCCCTTTTTCCTTTTCTAGGCAATGCATGAACCATTGCAAACTTGGCAAGATGCACCTTACATTTTTATTGTACATATTGACGTTTCATCCTCAAAGGAATCATCCAGAGAAAATTCACTAAGTAATCTTTTTACCAGTAAGTTCAATTAGTTTCTTTTTGAAGCTTTTGTTATTTTCTGGTTGTGTCATGCATGGAAGGTAAAATTGCTTTAAGTGAGGGAATAATTGATAAACTATGTTTCAATGTGGAAAAATTATGGAAGAGAAATGAAGATTTTCTGCACTCTGTTTTAGCTGGCACAACCCAAGGCACTTTGCATGTGTTTGCTAACTAGGTATTAAAAATACTAGGTTTCGTTTCTCTTCATTTGATCTTCCTGCTTTTAAAATTTTAATTAGTATCATGTTCTCAGTATTCTGAACACGGTTATCAAAACTTGGAAATTTTTAAATTAATTAACATTAGTAGTTGTTAATGTCTCAATTTTTAAGTGTTTTCCTTTCCACTGTTGCTGTCTAGTTCATGGAATCAGCATTTTTTATCTGGAATTTTGTAATGACTTACTGACTGGTCTTACTTTCTGTTGCTTTCTTCTTTTTACTTCACAGTTTCCTTCCCTACCCTGCTTTTTCAAGTAGAATATTGAATAGAAATGATGATGGTAGCCATCCATGTTTTGCTGCACACTTTATTGGCAGTATTGAAACATCTCACCAACAAGTGTGATGTTTACTATAGATTTTTCAAAATGTTCCATTTTTGGTTGAGGGTGTTTCTATTGTTTATTGTAACTAGCTCCTTTTTTTAGTTTTAAGAATGAATGCTTAGTTTTACCAAATGATTAATTATTTTGGCTGAAATGACCATATAGGCTGTCTTATTTTAGTAAATGAGGGTTATTATATTGACTGGTTTTCTTATATGGAACCATTCTTGAATTCTGGGGTATCACTACTTGGTCTTGATACACACACACACACACACACACACACCCTGAGACACAATATACATTGCTGGGTTGTATTTGCTTATATTTTGTTAAGTTTGATGTCTGTGTACAAAAGTGTGTTTGGCCCATAGATTTCTTTTTTCTTACTGTCTTCTACTTGTTTTAGCATCCGGTTATGCTGGTCTTAATAATGAGTTGGGAACAGTTCCTTTGTTCATATTCTATGGAGCAGTTTTTGTAACTTTTTTTTAAGGTTTATTTTTTATTTATTTGAAAGGCAGAATTACAGAGAGAGGAGGAATGTAAAGAGAGATTGTCCATCTGCTGGTTCACTCCCCAAATGGGCACAATTGCCAAGGCTGGGCCAGGCCAAAGCCAGCAACCAGGAGCATTATCCTGGTCTCCCATGTGGGTGCAGAGGCCTAGATACTCAGACCATCTTCCCCTGCTTTTCTCAGGCTGTTAGCAGGGAGCTGGATTGGAAATGGAGCAGCTGGGACTGGGACTGGTGCTCATATGGGATGCTGGCATTGCAGGTGGCAGCCAACCTGCTATGCCACAATGCTGGCCCCAGAAATGCATCTTATGCCCCATAGTGACATGGTGGTAGAGCAGGTGGCCTGGCATCTCCTGTCTCCCACACAGTCTCTCATGGGTAGGAGTCTCAAGGGGCAGTTGCCAGTTTTCTTTCTTTGAAAAGAGTGGAAGGGAAGCATTGCTTTGCCCCATTTCAGGCTCTTTATGTGTGAGACCTGGCTTGGATCCCTCCTTTCTTTTTGAATCTCCCTTGCCCAATGAGTCCTAGAAACTACACATATGGACCCAGAGTCAAACACGACCCTGGTGTCAGCCCGTGCACTGCTGTGAATTTCTGTTCAGTGGGCTGTCCCATTTTTATATTCTATCCATCTGTTGTTTGTAGCTGAGAAGGTCCATTAAGGCATGGACTTAACTACAGCCATCTGAGAGTACTAGATTTGTATCTCACAGTGTTTTATTATCTTTCTTCCCTTCATTCAAACTATTTGTGGCTCCCCATTGCTTGTAAAATGTCTAAATTTTGCCACAATGTTTGTAAAACTTTACAACTTGTCCAAGTCCAAGTTTGCTTTTGCTGCCTTATGTATACTCTGTGGTACTATGTTGCAGTCTCAGATTATGTGTTTTTAAAATATACGTCCTGTTGTCGCAGCTAGCTAGTTTTGTCCATGTTATTTCTTTGTCCTGGTAGGTTTTTTACTTGGTTCTGGAAAATACATGCTCATGCTTCCTGATCTGGCTCAGAGGGAGAGTTTTCTCTGTTGCTGCCCAACTCCTTTCCCTACGAGATGGTAACCTTCTAGATGGCAGAAACCATCTTACTCATCTTTCTATCTGCTCTTTTCCTTAGGCCTGTCATATAGGAAGTGCTTAGTAAATGTATGCTATACTTAAGCATAAAGCAGGGTGTAGCAAACTTTTTCTTAAGGGACCAGATAAATAAATAAATATTTTCTTAATTATAGCTACCTAGCTTTTGCCATAGTGGTGCAAAGGCAGCTGTAGACAGTATGTGAACAGATCGATATGGCTCTGCTCCAATAAAGCACAAAGTGGATTGCCAGATTTGGCCTCATAGCAGTACTTTCTGACCTTGGCATAGAGTAAGCAAAGAGTATGACAGAAATGTTTTATATACTCTTTTATTAAATTAGAAAATATATGGATTTAATAATCAGTTCTGCTCTGTAAATTTTATGATTGCTATTATGGGAGGCTCCTTTTGTTGGTATAAATGTTGGGCCTGCTTTCTTTTCAATAATGGTATCTCCTTTTTGGCTAATGAAAGCAAGTAGGAAATTTTTTGTCGAATGGGCAGTTATTAGTCTGTCTCAGGAGATGATCACTCTCTGATCAATCAGATTTTTAATATATTAATCATCTAGAATTTAAATCATTTTATCAGTTAAATCTTAAAATAGTTTTGTCAGTTATAGACTAAGGCATATCTGTGTTTCAGATTCATGCTGTTGCTATTCTGCTCTTTTAAACATTGTTATTAATAAAATGTTTGAAATATGTAAACTAGCAAGTTTTGGTAAGGTCCAGTTCTATGTTTACTGGGTGGTGCTTTGCTTCCATCTGAACTTAGAGCTGTTTTCATTTTGGAATGAGGATCTCTAGACTATCTGATTGGGGAGGTGGATTATTTCCCACCTTGTTTTATCAGAGAGGGAAAATTTATGTGAGTAAGTGTGAATTTCTAGGCTTTTGTTTGTTTTTAGTACCTGCATTGTGAAAATGATATATTAAGGTAGCAAAATCGCATAAATTCAGTACATAAAATGATAATAATACTTAAAAGAGGGACAGAAAACAAAGGATAACAGAACAAATAAAGTATGTCCTGTATAGCATCTTAGTGATGTGTTGTAAGAAAATGTCTGTCTGGAGTATGTTTGGAGATGAGAGGAGACGGAATAATTGTGGATGGGCAGCTCAGGGAAGGCTTTGTGGAGGGAATGTTCTGTCTGTTTTTAAAGGGTTATGGGTGTGGGACAAAAGGGCTTTCCCACTTTTGACTGGAGTTCAGGCTCGGGAACTTTGGCAGACAGAGCATGGAGTCTGAGAACACTTAATGAATTTCAAAGTGCTGTACAGATACAGTATTCACCGGGATTGAAGTGGTTAAAAGGAAATGTCCCAATGTGATTTTAATTAATTTCATCAAATGCATTTGAGTTTTTTAAATTAAAAAAAGTTTTAAAATTTTACTTATTTTTATTTTATTTGAAAGAGATAGGGGCAGAAAGAGAGATCTTCCATTGACTGCTTCACTCCCTAAATGCGTACAACAGCCAGTGCTGGCCTATGGTGAAGCCAGAAGCCTGGAACTCAATCCAGGTCTCCCACATGGACCAGCACGGTGGAGGGGATGCAGTCCCAACTACTTGAACTATCATCTATTGTCTCTCAGGTTGTGTGCAGGAAGGTGGAATTGGAAGTGGAGTTGGGACTCAAGCCAAGACACTCTGATATGGGAGCCAGTGTCCCAAATGGCATTCCAACCACTGTGCCAGACATCTGCCCCATCAGACACATTTTAGACAATGTTTTTATTTAACTTCTGAATCTGTTAAATTAATTCTGAGTGCTATGTTTTGGCAGTGACTGTTGAAGTGAAGGGTCCCTATGAATACCTCACACTTGAAGACTACCCATTGATGATTGTAAGTGAATTTACATTCTTTAACATTAAATGAGTTTAGTTTGGGAGATCATCTGTGTTATGTGACAATATTCTTTTTTAAACAGTTCTGTACAGTTCAGAAAATATTGCCTATAGCTCTGGACTTCTGTTAGACTGCAACCTTCTAAGAGTCAGTGTCCCCTGTGTACCTCATTTTTTTCATATGTAAAATGAAGAAGAAGTCAGTGACTTTTTGTGGATTTGAGATGTGGAAGGGACCTTGGAGACTATCTCACATCCTCTGTAGGATCCAAAATAGGTACTTCTTTCTTCAACCCTGTAGTTTCTGATCTCACTTAAAGTAACCAAGTGATAAAGCATCCTCTTAATCTGTTTTTCTTAAAATACTTTATTTACCTGAAAAACAGAGGGAAGGAGGGAGACAGGAAGACAAAGTGCTTCTGTCCACTGATTTACTACACAAATTGCTGCAACAGCCACGGAACTGGGATAGCCTGAAGCCAGGAGATGAGAACTCCATCCAGGGCTCCCATCTGGGTGGCGGGGACCTGAGCACTTGGGCCATCTTCTGCTACTTTCCCAGACATGTTAGTAGGGAGTTGAATCAGAAATGGAGCAACCTGGACTCGGTCCAGCGCTCTGATACATCATAGTGGCAACTTAACCTGCTGTGCTACAAAGCCAGCCCCCCTTAGTCTGTTTTCAGATTTCTTTGTTCATGATTTTTCTCTTCCTTTCCCTTTCCTTGTGTTCTGTAGTAGTCTCTGGGTATACCTTTTCCAGTCACACCTTTATCCTCTTCACTGTTACCTTCATTTAATACAGGAGAGCAGTCAGTCTTGAGCATAGGTCCTTTTTTTTTTTTTTTTTTAAAGATTTATTTATTTATTTGAAAGTCAGAGTTACACAAAGTAGAAAGGAGAGGTAGAGAAAGAGAGGTCTTCCTTCCCCTGGCTCACTCCCTAGTAGGCCACAACAGACAGAGCTATGCCGATCTGAAGCCAGGGACTTGAACTGGCGCCCATTATGGGATGCCAGCACTGCAGGTGGCAGCTTTACCCGCTACACCACAGCACCAGCCCCGTGAACAGGTCCTTAATGTCTCTTTCTCAGAAGAGATAATTCTTCTGTAATAACTCCAAAGATCTACTTGTTGTTTCCTTAATGGAAGGTAGCATATGTAAGTTTTTGTGGTTTGTTAATGCTATAACGGATTCTAAATCTTTATACTTGATTCTTGGCCCTAATTTTCCTTTCTATTTCTTACCCAATCGGCTTACAGTTTTTCATGGTGATGTGTATTGTGTACGTCCTGTTTGGTGTTCTGTGGCTGGCATGGTCTGCCTGCTACTGGAGAGATCTCCTGAGAATTCAGTTTTGGATTGGTGCTGTCATCTTCCTTGGAATGCTTGAGAAAGCTGTCTTCTATGCAGAATTTCAAAATATTCGATACAAAGGAGAATCTGGTATGTCACCAAAAAATGGTTCCCAGTTTAAGAGATTGGTAAAGGAGATATATGAAAATGTTCCCTAGGTCACCAGTGATTAAATAGATCAAATTTTCAATTAGTTAATTATTAGAATGACTTCAGTGGAATCACTCATTGTGACTTTTGTTTTTACCTTATAACTAATAGGTTTAGAGATGTAAGAGTTATTTTATTGGAATATGCTCACAAAACTTATATTGACTGTTTAGGGAATGATCATTACTGTTGTAAAATCTGTTACCATTGATTTCTAAGGTACCATTATGTACATCTAAGAAAGAAAATAAGCGATGCTGATTTCATTTTAAGATGCCATTAAGACACACTTTGATTTCAGAATCTTAAAATGTAGGCAGAAACTACATCTAGGAATTAATAAAATATAGTAATACTAAGAAAATAGGATGGTGCTTATATTTTTAGTAAGGTGAGCTGGTAATGACAAAACTTGTTTTGCTTTGTAGTTTTTTGTGATAGCTTCAGTTCTGTCATCAGATCATCTGCTTATTGTTACAAGATATACTATTTAGATCTTTTTCTTATCTTTGAAAGAAAAAGAGATGTGAAAAGCATATCTACTTGCATGCATGCATACATGTGTGTTTTATGCTTTATCAGGTTTAGCTGTATTTCACAGTTTTTAAACATGAGGGCAAAACTTCTTTGGCACTACAAACCGTAGGGCGAGGCAGTCTATTAAGGTTTTAGTGAAGTTGAGGGTAGGTGGGGAAGGGAGATAAATTGAGCACAGCCCAAATGCTGTAAGATGATAAGTGGTGCCAGCTCCTGTACTTGTGGAAGTTGGAGAAGAGGTACTCCTTTTTAGTAGGACCAATACCAGTATGTGCTGTAAAGAATACTAGAGAGCTTCATTCTGTTTCTGGAATGATTTGTGCTTTGCTGAGCTGAGATTGTAGCACCGTTTCTCCCCCCTTCTTTCTCCCAGTACAAGGGGCCTTGATCCTTGCAGAGTTGCTTTCAGCAGTCAAACGCTCACTGGCTCGAACCCTGGTCATCATAGTCAGTCTGGGATATGGCATAGTCAAGTAAGTACTAACTTCCTATTTAGAAGAAAAATGCTGATGAAATTCAACTAGTGTTGCAGGCTCCCAGTGTGCTAATTCTGATAGAGAATTCCTGGAGGGAAAAGGTATCTGAAATTTTGTAGCACTGTAAACGTATGTTTTTTAAATGGCCTTGCACAAATTCTTCCACCTTTTTTTAAATTATTATTTAAAGATTTATTTATTTATTTGAAAGGCAGAGTTACACAGAGAGGAGAGGCAAAGAGAGAGATCTTCCATCCACTGGTTCACTCCCTAGATGGCTACAACAGCCGGAGCTGTGCTGATCCAGAGCCAGGAGTCAGGAGCTTCTTCCGGGTCTCCTATGTGGGTGCAGGGGCCCAAGCACTTGGGCCATCTTCCATCGCTTTCCCAGGCCATAGCAGAGAGTTGGGTCAGAAGTGTAGTAGGATTTTAAATATCAAGATAAGACTTTTCCTCCTTCAAACAAAAGTTGCTCCAAGAAGTTGTTCACGTTTTGCTGGGTTTTTAGTTTGCAAATGTACTGTAAAATGAACTGCAGTAGGATATTTGATTATATTATGAAATTATTGAAATTGTTAGATTTGGTAATTGTATGATTGTACTTAGAAAATTCATAATCTGTTAAAAAATACATACGGAAATATGTACAAACAAACATACAACATCTAGGATTTGCTTCAAGGTGATATGAAAGGATGGGAAGTGGATGGTGTAGCTAACAGTTGTGAAGGTTCGTTATACTACTTTAGAGTATGCTTCAAAATTTTCTGTCATAAAACATGTTAAGAAATGCGGTTACCTGGGGCTGGTGCCATGGTGCAGTAGGTTAATCCTCCGCCTGCGGAGCCGGCATCCCACGTGGGCGCCGGTTCTAGTCCCGACTGCTTCTCTTCCAATCCAGCTCCCTGCTGTAGCCTGGGAAAGCAGTGGAGGATAGCTGGGGTGCTTGGGCCCCTGCACCCATGTGGGAGACCAGGAAGAAGCACCTGGCACCTGGCTTTGGATCGCTGCATCTCCGGCCATTGCGGCCATCTGGGGAGTGAACCAGTGGAGGGAGAACCTCTCTCTGTCTCTTTCTCTCCCTCTCACTGTCTGTAACTCTTCTCTCTCAAATAAATAAACAAAATATTTAAAAAAGGAAAGAAATGTATTTACCAGCAACTAGATCTTACATTCTGGTATTCCCTATCTTGTTTCAAGATCATGAATCAAGTATGTGTTGTTTAACACTTTTACTTACTAAATTTCTTATTTGGTGAAGCATTAAGCCTCTTTGCTGTAATGAAAACTTAAAAGATGTTATCTCAAAACTATCGAAAGAAAGAGAGAAGGAGGAAGGTCAGAGAGAGGAAGGGAATATTCTTAGAATTGTGTCTGCAAACTATATTGAATCTGTTATAAAACTAAATTAAAAAAATTTTAAATTGAAACAAAAAAATGAGTGATTTGTATTAACAAACAGGAGTTCCTGTTACTTAGTTTGTCTCAGGGGTTGTTCTGTTGGTGCTCAGCTCTGCCTTTGCTTCCCATTAGGCCTCGTCTTGGAGTCACTCTTCACAAGGTTGTGGTGGCTGGAGCCCTCTATCTGTTGTTTTCCGGCATGGAAGGGGTCCTCAGAGTTACCGGGGTCAGTACTGCTTCATCAGAATTTTTGTGCTCACTTCAGTCATATTGTTTCTGTCTTGAGAGGGTGAATTGGAAATGGCTCCGGGCTTCTATATTTTGTCTTTAAGTCACCTGCAGGCTCTAGTTTTCAACATGCATGTACAGGTTTAGTATCCCTTATCCAAAATGCCTGGAATTAGAAGTGTTTCCAATGTCCACGTTTTTTGGGTTTTGCAGGCTTCACTTAATTGAGCATGCCTAATCCCTCTCACATCTAAAATCCTCCAGAATCTGATTGAGCATCCTGTTGCTGTTCTTTGCTTAACCAGCACTTGAGTTTTAAAGGCTTCCTTGAAATGCAACTAATTAAATTTCATACTGTTCTTGAGAATTGCATAATTAATCTCTGCCAGGGAAGGGAAGCAAAGCACTGAGATCTGAGTGATGTGCTTCTGCACTTGATCTTAGCCAAAGACCGAGAAGCACTGAGTGATACATTTCTGTCACACTGGATTAATGTGAAGAAATAGGCCTCAGGCCTCCCTGGGCCATTCTTGTCATTCTCTTAGTCATTTAAAAATTAGAATGTTTATTAATAACCTGTTAGATTCAAGTTGGTAAATCTTAGAAACTTGGCCTTCAGGAAAACTGGGCTCAGTACGTATTGAAATGAGTTACCCCTTAAATAAAGGAGTCTGTGAATACAGGTTTGCTTTTCAAATCCCCCTGCCCTTGGTATGTAATTTCCTTGGACGTTTAACAACTTTAACCCTCTATCAATTTCTTTTTTTTCTTTCTGCTCTGCCATAGTATTTTTCTAATTCCTTGGCTCTGATAGTAAACCTGGCCCTCTCAGCAATTGATGCCTGTATTATTTTATGGATATCCTTTCAGTGCTGCCCTGTGATTGAGTAATTAGAGTTGTATAAAAATATCTTAAATACAAACTTGTGGAAGCAAGCAGTATAGTTTTGGGGACAGGTGAGTTCTTGTTTGGAAAATTCCATTACATTACAATTCTGGAAACCAATAATTAGTTTATTAATGATGTCTTTTTAAAAAAATATGAGAAGGTCACTTTAGACTTGTAGCCTAAATCACAGTTATAGGAAATGATAGCATGGGAGCTTTCAAACACTCAGCGTTTTTTCAGTGTGGGCACTTCTTTGCATGCTCCTAGGATGCCAGTTCCTCTTGGTAGCTACCTCTGTGGAAATAGCAGTGTGCTTCATTGTATAGAAATTGTAATTGACAATTTATGTGAAAGGCGTATGGCTATATATTTTACATGATGGTTTGTAACAAGAGGAGAATGATTAGATGTCACATGTTAGTTGTTGTCATTTTCTCTCGGTTCTAATACAGAACCATTCCAGATGATTAATACAAATGCAGAATCACGTGCTGGTTTCTTCTCTGTGCCTCTCTGGACACCTGTTTTTCATCACTTCTTTTTCTTTGTCTGCAGGCCCAGACTGATCTTGCTTCCTTGGCCTTTATCCCCTTGGCTTTCCTAGACACTGCCCTGTGCTGGTGGATATCCTTCTCATTGGCTTGTCTGATGGTGGTCCATTTCTCTGCTTGGAGATGGGTTTCCATTGATCTTTCTGCAAAGAGATGCCATTTTGTTATTTCTCCTTGGTCTGAGGAATAGTGTATTTTAAGTCTGAACAACCTGAGGGTTCAGGTAAGCAGTTTTTGTTTTTGCTGTCTTAATTTTCAAAATCATATCAGAGGTTGGGACTGTGGACTGCACCCAAAGTAAATGCTGTAGGCTTTTCTCTTTTCAGTGAACATTTCACCTTGATTTTTTTGTCATGTTACTTGGTGCAGCTCATTTAGTGTTGGAATTATCATCTACTCTGCTTCTGCTGTTTCTTTTAGCTTCTAGCCATTATTAAATGCTTTGAAACTTACACAAAGATTTTGATCATTAAAGTATGGTTTTAGGAACTACATAGATGGTTTAACTTCTGAAACTCTCTGTAGGTTTAGCAGGTTTTAACCTGGGTTAATTGTTTTGTTCTCTCATTCCAAAGCTGATTTTGGGATCATCTGAATACTGATACCCTTCAGAATAAATTTTGTTCATTTATAGGCAGAGTAAACTAGCAGGTAACAAGTTTTTGATTGAGTAATCTTTTTCTTATTTTCTTAAAATTAAACATTTCTTTATAAGGGACTTGGCCTGTTGGATAAGAGTAAGGTTTTTGACTTTATCTTTGGGGTTTATTTTGGGATTTACATATGTAGTCCTATGTGAACTTGTACATTACTAATGTCTTGATAGATTGTGACTGTTGGAAAGAGCTGAATGTGAAAAAATGGTAATTTTATGATTTTGTGCAGATTGACTTATAGCAAAAAAATTGAAATTGAAGTGTTGTGGATCTAAATGGCTAAAACTTTTTAAGATCAGTCTCTTTCCAAGTGTCTTGTGAATTTCTGTGAATATAGAGAGGAGTAGAGAGGGTAGAGAGGGTGATGGGACTGGACTGTATGATCAGCTAAGCCAGTGACTAGTCACAGCTAAGGCTCTGCCAAAGGGCAGAGCAAGCTCCAGCTCCCTTATTTTTATATCTGCTCCTTGTTCTGAAAGTTGGTCACGACAGCAGGTATCATCTTCAGTAGGCATGAGTTTCCTTCATGGTCTTCTACAACTTCTACTTGGGAATAACACTCTGAAGATGGAGAAGTGTCACTTGTAGAGCCTAACTGTCTCATACTCTGCAGGGTCTCTTAATTCTGAGTCAGACAGGCAGCTGGTGGCGGGTTCTGGCAGATGGCACGAGGGGACTGAGGAGAGAACTCGGGCAAGCTGTAGGCACACCCGTAATTATGACCCTGGACTAGGTTGACTGGGACAGGGGAGAACACAACTGCCACCTTAGAGGGAGAGAAAAGATGGATATTAACTCCTTCTTCTTTGCCTAGCACTCGTTTTATCATCTTCCATAGTTCTGTTTCTTGTGTTTTCATCTTTTTTGTTTCCCTGGAAAGCCTCTTCGTGTCTTTATTTATCTTTTTTATATTTTTTAATCTCTTGCTTGTACTATTCTTATTTTATCCTGATTCTTACTTCTCTTCAGTTTCTCATTGAAAATGATGATTTTAGGGGCAGGTGTCGTGGGGCAGCAGGTTAAATCACCTCCTGGAACGCCAGTATCCTATATTGGAGTGCCAGTCTGTACTTCCAATACAGCCTTCTGCTAAAGCTCCTCCTGGAATACAGCAGTTAATTTAGGCTCCTGACTTTGGCCTGGCCCAGCCCTGGCTGTTGCAGGCTTTTAGGGAGTGAATCACTAGATGGAAGATCTCTCTGTCTCTGTCTCTGTTCTTCTGTTTTTCAAGTAAATGTAAATAAGTAAATAAACATTAGAAAAAGCAGATGATGGCGTTCTTATTAATCTTGCTGAGGCTTGGAGTATTGGTGGGGGTTAAGTGAGAATAAGAGCTATATGTAATGCCTATGAGATGTGCACCATTGTAAGTGTGCCCCAGTATACTCAAAGAAGTCTGAGGATTAATTTACTGACTTACTGTTTTTATGAATGTTTAATTCCTTGACCTGCAAACACATATTTATTAGCCTGACTCAAACAATGAAGCTATTAAAACTCCGGAGGAACATTGTAAAACTCTCTTTGTATCGACATTTCACCAACACACTTATTTTGGCAGTAGCAGGTAAGTCTGGGACTTTCTTTTTGCTCTTTAAATGCAGTCTTTTTAGAATAGATTCTAATAGGCTAGAGGTATACATAGCAAGTTTTATACATTTCATTTGGGGAAAATGCACAAATCTTTTTCAAAAAAGATTTAGAACCGCTTATTTTGGAGTGGGCAGTTAACCTGGCACTTAAGTCTCTTGTGTCCCACATCAGAATACCTGAGTCTGATTATCCAGCTCTGGCTTCTGACTCCAGCTTCCTGCCAGTACTGACCCTTGGAGTGAGTGGCAGTAGCTCAAATAGTTTGCTGCTACCCATGTAGAAGACTTGGATTATGTTCCCAGCTCCTGGCTGCAGCTCCAGCTTTTGCAGACATTTGGGGAATAAACAGAGGATGGTAGTTTGCTTTGTCTCTCCATCATATAAAAAAAGAACCACTTATTTTAAGCGTAATACCTGAAACTTAACCCCATGTAATTTCACCTCTTAGTCTATTCCTTTCCTGTCTTGATTCTTTTTCTCAGGCCTTCTTTTTCTTGAGTTGGGTTAGCTTTAGTCCCAAATGATATTTATTTATGTTCTTCGAAGATGTTACCACATAGTTATTTGATTAATAGCTATAGAATTTTAGATTAGGGTTTGTTGCTTTTATAGTGCTTTTAGATATACATATATATATATATTTTTTTTTTTTTTTAAGATTTATTTTATTTATTTATTTGGAAGTCAGAGTTACACTGAGAGAGGAGAGACAGAGAGATCTTCCATCCGATGATTCACTCCCCAGATGGCTGTAATGGCTGGAGCTGGGCTAATCTGAAGCCAGGAGCCAGGAGCTTCCTCTGGGTCTCACACGTGGGTGCAGGGGCACAAGCACTTGGGCCATCTTGTACTGCTTTCCCAGGCCATAGCAGAGAGCTGGATCAGAAGAGGAGCAGTTGGGACCAGAACCAGCGCCTATATGGGGTGCCGGTGCTGCAGGCCAGGGCTTTAACCCACTGTGCCACAGCACCAGCCTCTTAGGTATATATTTGACCATAGCCCAATGAGGCTAATTTGCCCACCTCTTGACCCTTTTATCAGGAATAGTGAGTTCTGACCTATGATTATAACCAGCTCTTCTGTTTATATTATGGTCATTTTGTCAGCTATTTTTTTTTTCATCTGAATAGCAAAAGAAAAAATTGACATTACTAAATTAAGGATAAAACAAGAGAAAAATTATATTGATAATGCCTGAACAAGCTGTATTTCTAGTACTTTTTTCCAATTCTGACTCAGTTAAATTACAGATATTAAATAAATTATTATAGAACTATTCTTTAAGTCCAGAGGTAGTTGACATTACTATGAATCTTGTTTATAGCAGCTGTTCAGGAAGTTTCTGTTATATATTTATTAAAATAAGTGATAATGATTATGATATATTGGAGGTTAAGGGTGTGTAGAATTCTACTTTACCAGAATCAGAGGAATGTAATTGAGGACATAAATCAACATTAATGCTCTGACTGGGCTTTTCGTTTCCTGTTAGCATCTATTGTGTTTATCATCTGGACAACCATGAAGTTCAGGATAGTAACTTGTCAGTCGGTGAGTTACAAGCACATATACTTATGAGTAGTGTATTATCTTTTACACATGTTGATGTTGATGGCTATAGTAAGTTTTCTCATAAGGTAGGCATCTTGTAAGAAATTAGTCTAGTTTCTACTGTGAAGGTTATACAAATGCTGGGTATAGTGATTGGTTTTGATCTGTTTGTTTCTTCTAATAATGGGAGAAAACTTTGTAAGTGGTAATCATAGTCTGTCATAACCCAGCCTTGACTTCACCAAAAATCTCAAATAAGGAATCCAAGTACTAAACACTAAATAATGTGTGAACAGTACTCATCTGAATAGAAGCCCTGTCTTTAGGATCTGAGAACAAAGACTGATTAATGGGATTTTTTTTTTTTTTTGGATGCAGTTAAGGCTTTATTCTGGTTAAAAGAAACAAAACTGAAAATTACAAAATATAACAACTTGATGTTACTTTTTCTTAAACTGTGTAAAACCCTTCCCTAAAGATTCTCAGATCATGGAAGTGCTGTGTTCAGATGATGCCTTTAATAACTGTAAGCAATGCAAGGGAAGAAACTGTGTCACGCATTTTGTGTCCCCAGCACACAGCATGCCAAGCATACAGCAGACTCTTAGTAAATAGACCTTGAATCAATAAGTAGTTTCTGTTCTTTGGCAAAGGCTTTGTGGACAAAATGTTAACGGCTATCGATGATTTGCTTTTCCCCTTACTGTAGGACTGGCGGGAGCTGTGGGTGGATGATGCCATCTGGCGGTTGCTGTTCTCCATGATCCTCTTTGTCATCATGGTTCTCTGGAGACCGTCAGCAAACAACCAGAGGTTCTTTGGACGCTTCCCATTTATTCTACTAACCTTAGGATAGCCATGTCACCATTTAGGCATGGTAGTTAGGGGATGATGACAGTGCTGTATCATGAACAGTGGGTCTGGAATCACTTAAGTTGGGTTCTTACCTCACCTCTGCTCTTGCTTTGTGATTTTTGGTGTACTCTTTTCACCTCTCTGGGTCTGGGTTTCCTTTCATATGAGAGGAGATTGAACCAAGTGCTATGAGGTCCCTTTCAGCTCTTGCATCTTCTGATAATACAAGTATTTATATGATAAATGAGGTAATATATAATAAATAAGGTAAATAATGGGAGAAGATCCATCACTCAAGGAGAGCCTCTCCTGTCCAGCCCAACTCGCTTTATAATAGAGAGGGTAAAATGAAACTTACCTGACTGACTGTAGAATTAAAATCTACGTGGGAATTTGATTTATCTGACTAGGCAGGTCTCATTTAGGAACTGCTTGTCTTTATTTGTGCATATCTATTCCTTTGTTCCCTTTTTACCCACTGCCTCTTTTAGATAGTTAGGAGCCTTAGATTAGTAAACAACCACATCACCAAAGGAAAAGAATATGATGACATAACTAGATGGCTAGCTTTATCATTAGACATACTGGAAAAGACTAGGAAGAAAAACAGGTGAACATAGCTTTGTTGTCTTGAGCTATACACGTAATGTGTGTTCACTCATTAAAACAAGGTAAAAAAAAATTAGAGAAAAGTCGTGAAAGAAAATAAAGGAGATTGAAATTGTACTGTTCAGAAGGAAAAAATGGACATTCTGAGGACCTCCCTGTTACGTTGATCTGTTGATCTACTGGTTAAGCACTGTCTGTATTTACATGTAAAATATTTCTCTTCCTCAGTCATTAAACCTTTTTTTACATTTTCTTCCCTTTTTATTTAATTCCCTTTTTTAAAAAAAAACAACCTTCAGGCCGGTGCTGTGGCTCACTAGGCTAATCCTCCGCCTTGTGGCGCCGGCACACCGGATTCTAGTCCCAGTCAGGGCGCTGGATTCTGTCCCTCTTCCAGTCCAGCTCTCTGCTGTGGCCAGGGAGTGCAGTGGAGGATGGCCCAAGTACTTGGGCCCTGCACCCGATGGGAGACCAGGAGAAGCACCTGGCTCCTGCCTTCGGATCAGCACGGTGCGCCGGCCGCAGCGCGCCAACCGCAGCGGCCATTGGAGGGTGAACCAATGGAAGGAAGACCTTTCTCTCTGTCTCTCTCACTGTCCACTCTGCCTGTCAAACAAAACAAAACAAAAACAACTGTCATTCCCCATGGCTTCAATGTTAACAGCCTGATGTGTTGCTTTCTTCTACATTTTATTCCCTGTTCAGATACAGAATCTTCCTTTACTTAGCAGTACAGTGTGGAAATTGCCTTCAAGTTACATTGAACTCAGTTTGTTTTCATGGATGACATCATGTTACATTTAGGTATAAATGTAGGACTGTTGACCTCTTCCCCTATTAATGGGCATTGGGCCTCCCTCCAGTTTGAAATGTCCTTGGGTCCTCAAGATTACTTACATGCTCAGTTATTTGGTGAAAGGATTCATGGACTCCATATACACTGTATTTACATGAAGGTTTATTTCCTCAAAATGATAATATCAGCAAGGGAAAAGACACCGGTAGAGTCTGGGGAAATCTGCTTTCTTTCCTTATGTCCTTTCCGTCTGAGGACGTGCATGAAACCTGCTCCTTTCCCAGCAGCCACGACCCGTGAACCGGTGCATCGTTTCTGCCCAAGGAGCCCTGTTAGATGCTCGGCACTACGGGTTTCTGTTGGAGGCCGGTCATGTGAGCACCCTCTGCCTAGTAGATAGCAACATTTCATACTCTGAGGAGAAGACCAATGGCTGTCATAAATCACATTGTCCAGCAGCCAGGCACAGTGATCCCCCTGACCAGTTAGGGAAAGGTTGAGTGCCCGTTTGCAGATGCAGCTGTGGGCCGGTCTTGCATTAGTCCTTGTATTTATAGGGTAGATGAAATACAGGAATAAGCTACAATACTGTAAATACCCTTGTATTTCTAGTCCTGTACACTCCAAAATCTCCTCGCCCCATTCTTTTTTTCCTCTTAACACTTGTTTTACTTTTTCTATTGTTCAGTGTTGGCCTTCCCCTCATAATCTGCACCACCCCCCTGCCCAAAAAGAACTAAAACAAAACAAATGTAAATTCCATGAGGACACAGGATGGAGAACTGTTCCTGGCTACCCAGGGTTTGCCCAACTGCAGAGTCCTAACATGACTGCTCCCACTTTTGACCCTAATCACAAATTCAGAGATTCCCCATCATTGGAAGGCTCATAAAACTCGATACTGTTAGTCTCATGGCTACGTTTATTTCAGAGAAAGGGTATAAATTAAGCCAAGAGGAGAGACTCATTGGGAAGAGTCCAGGAGGGGCCCCAGTTCAGAACTTCCCAGCGTCCTCTCAAGTCAGGGCGGGGTTATGTTTTTGACTGGGGCTTGATTATATGCTGGCTTCCTGTAAATTGGCTTAATCCCTTAGTCTCCAGTTCTTCAGAGGTCGAGACTGATACAGTGTGGCCAGAACCGCATCATAAATTGCACTGTTAGGCTGTCTAGTGGCCAGAGCGTCCAGACACACAAAAACACTCCTGCCAAGCAGGACATTTTTTAATTGCACACTGGCAATAACATGATCAATAAATATTTAATGAGTGGGCTTGGAATTGGTGGATTTAAGGTATGTGCATTTGTATTCTTAAAGTATTTCCATGTTGTGTTCCCAAAAGACACTTGAAACAAATTGTGTATTTAACAGTAACAATATGAGGAGTTTTCTCCACGTCTTCCATTATTTTATTTAATTTTTGCAGATCTAGTGAGTGAGAATTAATTCCCACTGTTAACTTTAATTTGCATTGAAGTGTGGGTCTTTTTTTTTTTTATAATATTGTTCACTAGTCAGTTTTGTGAATTAGCTTTTTGTATCTTTGGCCTATTTTTATTGGCATTTATTGGTTGTTGTCTTACTATGTTTTGTGCTACTATAACAAAATATCACAGCCTGGATAATTTATAATGTATATAAATTTATTAGAGTTCTGGAGGCCAGGAATTACAGGCTGAGGTGTAAGCATTTGGCACAGGCCTGGACTGTGGTTTCATTTGGCAGAAGGTGGAAGGACAAGAGGGAGAGTCCACTTCTGAGCCTATTTATAACAGCATTAATCCATGCTTGAGGGCTCTGAGCACCTCCTAGTAGGCCCCACCTCCTGTACTGTTCTTGAGTGATTAAGTTGCTATGTGAGTTTTAGAGAGGACAAACATTTCATACCTTAACAATCATTTATGTATTGATTTGTAGGCCGCCTTAGTATGTTTTGAATACCAGTATCTTTTTTTGTTCTTAATATTGCAGGTATTTTCTTCTAGTTCATTTTCTTTTAATTTTTTAATGCTGTTTTTGGTCATACAGATTCAGAAATGTGGAGTCAAGTTTGTTATTTTTTTCCATCATGAATTGTGCATTTTGTTTCTTAAGAAATCCTTCCCTAGTCCGAGGTGAGGTCATAAAGGTATTCTATAATTTCAAAAAATTTTCACAATCAAGACTTCATCTACCAAGAATTATTAGATTCTGGGCTGCTGTATTCACTTCTTTTCTTGATCCTGCATCAGTTAAGTAGCACACTGTCTTAATTGCCCAGCTTTCAAATAAGTCCTGGTATGTGGAACACCTAAACCTTTACCTTAATTTTCTCTTTAAAATAGCATTTGCTATCAGATCTTTGCTTTTTAATTAAAAAAATTACCTTGTTTAATTCTAGGAAAACCTTATTAAGATTTTTATTGGAATTATTTAAAAAAAAAAGATTTTATTTATTTGAAAGGCAGAGTTACAGAGAGCGAGGGGCAGAGTGAGAGTCTTCTGTCTACTGGTCACTCTCTAAAGCTGGACTGATCTGAAGCCAGGAGCCAGGAGCTTCATCCAGGTCTCCCACATGGGCACAGGAGCCAAGCACTTGAACCATCTTCCACTGCTTTCCCAGGCACATTAGCAGGGAGCTGGATCAGAAGTGGAACAACCGGAACTCGCACTGGCACCCACATGGGATGCTGGCACTGCAGCACCACTACGCCATAGTGCCAGCCTGTTTATTGGAATTTAATTGACTTAATGGATTAATTAGGGAAATTCAATAGCTTTTTGATAATTCCATCTTTGAAAATGGTATCTCCCCATTTTTTTTAGTTCTTTCCAGTGTTTTTGTTTCAGGTATGTTTTGTAACTTTTTATTTAAATTTTCTGTGGTTCATATGAATGCATTATGTATTAAAATATTACTTACAGCTTTTCCAAATGTTTAGGAATACTATTGATTTTTGTATGTTTATCTTAATCACCAACCTTCCAAAATTATCTTGTTCAGATAATTTCTAGGTTTTTCTCATAAGGTAGATTTTTGTCTTAAAGTAATCATAATATTCCTTCTTTGGCAAATAGTCTTCCTGCTTCATTTCTGATTCTTGTATTATTACATTGGCCAAGCCCTCTTCTTTAACAGTGTATACAGGAACTGCTAGTGGATCTTGTCATCTTATTTTTTTTTTAAGGTTTTATTTATTTATTTGAGAGGTAGAGTTACAAACAGTGAGAGGAAGAGACAGAGAGAAAGGCCTTCTGTCTGCTGGTTCACTCCCCAGATGGCCACAGTGGTCGGAGCTGTGCCGATCCGGAGCCAGGAGCCAGGAGCTTCCTCCAGGTCTCCCATGTGGGTGCACAGGCCCAAGGACTTGGGCCATCTTCCACTGCTTTCCCCGGCCATAGCAGAGAGCTGGATTGGAAGAGAAACATCTGGGACTAGAACCAGCACCCATATGGGATGCCAGCACCACAAGCAGAGGATTAACCTACTGCGCCATGGCGCCAGCCCCCATGTTATTCTGTCTTTTAATGCTTCTCAAGTATCATCATAACTATGGTATTTACCATGAAGTCTTGTTAGTTACCCTTTAACAAGTTATAGATGTTTCTTACTACTCCTAGCTTATTAAGAGTTTCGATCATGAAAGGGAGATTTAAAAAAGGTAGGTTGAAAATAGTAGGCCATAATAAAATAGAATAGAGTAAGGTCAAAGCTAAAGCAGTCTAGGAATCACCTGTCTGACAGCGGCTTTGTTGAGTCTCCTGGAAATTGCCAGGGAAAGGTGTCTGAGATGGGCCAGACTAGGCCTTGTCTTCCAATGCTTCACACTTGAAAACAGATTTTACATTACCTGGAATGCACAAGATTGAGGCTTCTCTTCTCTCAACTCCCACCTCTGAAGGCTGAAAAAAAAATTTTTTTTTTTGATAGGCAGAGTGGACAGTGAGAGAGAGAGACAGAGAGAAAGGTCTTCCTTTTTGCCATTGGTTCACCCTCCAATGGCCGCCGCAGCCGGTGTGCTGCGGCTGGCGCACCGCGCTGATCCGAAGGCAGGAGCCAGGTGCTTCTCCTGGTCTCCCATGGGGTGCAGGGCCCAAGCACTTGGGCCATCCTCCACTGCACTCCCTGGCCACAGCAGAGAGCTGGCCTGGAAGAGGGGCAACCGGGACAGAATCCGGCGCCCCGACCGGGACTAGAACCTGGTGTGCCGGCGCCGTAAGGCAGAGGATTAGCCTATTGAGCTGTGGCGCCGGCTGAAATTTTAATTTAGATGAGAACTTATTTTCCTCTGTGGTACATATACCCTTCTAAGTGAACTTGTAATTGGATATTTATAAATGCATCAGTGTTGTGCTGAACCCCTTATTTGTAATGACTGTTCACAAACACCTCCAGGAGTGTTTTGAGTGATATTCTTCTGTTAGCCTTGTGTACAGATGAGGAGCTTGTCTCGGGTCACAGGTAGTAAGTACATGGCTAAACCTCAATCAAATAGGATGCTTCTCTCTTGCTGATATAGGCAGTTGAGAGCTTTCTCAAAGGGAAGAACGACTGTTATTCATTCACCTGATTTGATGAGTTACTTCAGATGCAGTTGGGGTGATAAATTCTGTAACATCCAGATGGTAGAGCAGTTTATAGTTTTCTAATGTTTTCTTTCTGTTCTGTCAGGTTTGCCTTTTCACCATTGTCCGAAGAGGAAGAGGAGGATGAGCAAAAGGAACCTATGCTGAAGGAAAGCTTTGGTAGTGATAAAACTCACCTTTTACTTGTGCTTTAAATATTCTTTTCATATAAGCACTTTGTTATTTTACAATTTGGTAAATTTACAGTTTGATAAATAGTAAAATCAGAATGAAGAAAAAATAAGGGTATGAATTTTAAGATGAAAGTGTGGTAAATTCAGCAAATTATTAGACATTTTATATCCAGTTTACTTGCTAGAAGCTAGCTGAAAATGTAGCTTAACCTTCCCAGCATGAATGTAAACATAGAGAACCATCTGTTGCATAGTTCACAGTGTCAAAATACTTAAAGTTCTAAAACCATTTTTATAAGCATTGTTGGTATTTTGACAAAGTTAACCAGTCTGCATTTATTTCTTCTACAGAAGGAATGAAAATGAGAAGTACCAAACAAGAACCAAATGGAAACAGTAAAGTAAACAAAGCAGTATGTATGACTTCCTTTGCTCTTGGTATAGCTCATCAATGTAGGCCTAAATGACTTTTTTTAAAATTATTTATTTGAAAGAGGGAGAGAGGTCTTCCATCCACTGGTTCACTCTTCAGATGGCCACAGTGGCTGGAGCTGAGCTGATCCAAAGCCAGGAATGAGAAACTTCCTCCGGGTCTTCCATGTGGGTGCTGGGGCCCAAGCACTTGATCCAACTTCCGCTTTCCCAGACCATAGCAGGGAGCTGGATGGGAAGTGGAGCAGCCGGGACTTGAACTGGCAACCATATGGGATGCTGGTACTGCAGGCCAGGGCTTTAACCCACTGCACCACAGTATGCTTAACTTGCTGCTTCATAAATATTTTAGTATACAAGCATTTTTTAAAATAGAGCTTGTGAGTCTCACATCTAGTAGTTTTTAAAAACTAGATGATCTGTAACTATATTCTGGAAAACTATCCCACCATTCAGATTGGTCTAGTGGTTTTCATCAATGAAGTCATGGCCCCATTGATAACCTAAGGTCTTTTTTGAAGTAAAGATCAAGATCTTTTCAGAGTATTTGTTGTTAGAGTATTTGCTCTCCATTTAGGAACCTTGGAATTTATTTCAGCCTTGAAGAACCAAGTGTCCACGAAGCAAGCTAACTGTTAGACCACTGAGAAGAAACTATTTAAGGATGTAGGACATTATACTTCTGTTACATGGTATAAATGCTTAAATAATTGGTCCTCCCCAGAGCAATTAGGTAAGAGAGATGAAGGCATCCAAATTAGAAAGGAAGCTGTTGAATTGTCTCTGTTGACAGATGACATGCTACCATCTGCTGGTTCATTCTACAAATGCCTGTGGTGGCTGGGTCTGGTGCTAGCAGCTAGGAACTCAATTCAGGTCTCCCACATGTGTGCAGGAACCCAGCTGCTTGAGTCAGCTGCTGCCACCAAGTTCTGCATTAGCAGGAAGCCAAATCAGGAGCCAGTGCTGGATATTGAACCCAGGACTCTGACGTAGATGCAGACATCTTAACTGCCGGGCTGAATGCCAGCAGAAACATGAACTTAAGTCGAAGGGGGCTGCAGAAAGTTTGTGGAAAATGTCTATTGTGAGAAAACTGCACAGACCCCAAAACCTTTTGTACCAAGATATATTAATTTTATTTTTGAAGTTTCTTCATAGAAAAGGCTAAAGACTCTACCAAAAAAAAAAAAAAAAGGCAGCTATTAAATGAATTCAGTAAAATTAAAGGATACAAAATCAACATAGATAAAAAATCACATAGAAGAAAATTCCATTTACAATAGCCAACCAAAAATAAACTACTTAAGAATAAACCTAATCAAGGGGGTAAGAGACATATACTTGGAAAAATATAAAGTACTGATAGAATAAATTGTAGAAGATGCAAGTATGCAAGTAAATGGAAAGGTATCCTGTGTTCATGGATTGGAATAATTATTATTAAAGTATCCATACTGCTCAAAGTAATCTACAGATGTAATACAATCCCTATCAAAATTTCAGTGATATTTTTCACAGAAAAATTCATAAGGAACCATAAAAGACCCAAAACACTCTTGACCTAAAAGAATAAAACTGGGGCATCACACTACCTGCATCAAAATATGTTACAGAGCTATAGTAGTCAAAAGAGCATGGTACTGGCATGAAATCAGATACGTAGATCAGTAGAACCTAGTAGAGAGAGAAATCCACACATTTCTGGTCGATTGCTTTTTGACAAAAGTGCTAAGAACATAAAGTAGGGAAAGGAGAGTTTCTTTATAAATATTGTTGGAGAAACTGAAGAATGAAATTGGACATATTGGGGGCTAGCGCTGTGACGTAGGGGATAAAGCCACCCGCCAGTGCTGGCATTCCATATTGGCACCGGTTCAAGTCCCAGTTGTTCTACTTCTGATCAGCTCTCTGCTAATGCACCTGGTGAAGCAGCAGAAAATGACCCAAGTCTTTGGATCCCTGCACCCATGTTGGAAACCCAGATGAAGCTCCTGGCTCCTGGATTCAAGTCTACCCAGCTCCTGTTGTTGTGGCCATTTGGGGAGTGAACCAGCAGATGGAAGATCTCTGTCTCTAACAGTGCCTTTAAAATAAATATATAATTTTTTTTTAAAGTGGAGGGACTAGCATTGTGGCATAGCAGGTTAAGCATCCACCTGTGATGCTGACATCCTCTGTGGTTGCTGGTTCAAGCCCTGGCTGCTCCAGTTTGAGTCCAGCTCCTGTTAACGGCCTGGGAAAGGCAAGGGAGGATGGCCCAAGTACTTGGGCCCCTGCACATACATGGAAGGCCCAGAGGAAGCTCTGGGTTCTGTTTTAGCCTGGCCCAGCCATAGCTGTTGCAGCCATTTGGGGCATGAATCTGGAGAGTATATCTTTCTCCCTCTGTTTCTCCCCCTCTCTCTGTATCTCTGTCTTTCCAATAAAATAAAAATATTTTTAAAAAAACAAACATAAATTAGACTGATCTCACGTCACATACGAAAGTCAACTTAAAATGAGTTAAAGACTTAAACATGGGGCCTGAAACTGTAAAACTACTGGAAGAAAATGTTGGGGAGTAGGGAACTCCATGATATTGGTCTAGACTATAATTTTCTTTTAACATTTATTTTTTTATTTGAAAGAGTTAGGAGGGACAGGGGGCCTGCACTATGTTATAGTGGGCTAAGTCTCTGCCTGTGGTGCCAGCATCCCATATGGGCACCAGTTTGAATCCCAGCTGCTCCTCTTCCAGTCCAGCTCTCTGCTATAGCCTGGGAAAGCAGCAAAAGGTGGTCCAAGTACTTGGACTCCTGCACCTGTGTGCAAGACCTGGAAGAAGCTCCTGGCTCCTGGCTTTCGATGGGCTCAGCTCTGGCCATTGCAGCCATTTGGGGATTAAACCAGGGGATGGAAGACCTTTCTCTGTCTTTCCTTCTCACTGTCTGTAACTCTACCTCTCAAATAAATAAATAATAAAATATTTTAAAAAGAAAAATGAAGTGGCCAGGCCACTTCCCAAATGGCCACCTTGGCTAGATCTGGACCAGGCCAAAACCAGGAGCCAAGAACTCCATCCTGGTCTCCCACATGAGTGGCAGGGACCCAAGAACTCAGACCATTTTCTACTGCTTTCCCAGGTGCATTAGCAGGGAGCTTGTTTGCAAGTGGAACAGCCAGGACTCAAACCAGCATTCATATGGAATGCTGGTGTCTTAGGTGGTGGCTTAACTCACTGTGCCACAATGCTGGCACCTGGACAGTGAATTTTTTAATGGCAACCCCAAAAGCATTAGGCAACAAAAATAAAAGTAGAGAAATGGGATTGGCCAGCATTCTGCCCCAGCAGGTTAAGCTGCTGCTGATTGCCAGCATCCCATGTAGGCACCCATTGGAGTGCCATCTGTTCTACTTCCAATCCAGCTCCCTACCAGGGAAAGCAGCGGAAGATGACCAGAGTGCCTGTTTCCCTACTACCGTATGAGAGAACTGGATGGAGTTCCAGACTTCTGACTTTGGCCCAGCCTAGCTTCAACTGTTGTGGCCATTTGGAGAGTGAACCAGCATATGGAAAATCCCTCTCTTTCCCTCTCTGTGTGTGACTGTCTCTTTCAAATAAGTAAATAAACCTTTTAAAAAACGAGAAAGAGAAATGGGAGTACATCAACTAAAAAGCTCTGCACACCAAAGGAAATAATCATCAGAATGAAAAGACAACCTATAGAATTGAAAAAAAATTTGCAGACCATATGTCTGTTAAGGAGTAAATATCTTCTCTATTAAGGAACTCGGTGGCAAGAAAACAAATAATTAAAATATGGGCAGTGTCCTGAAGTAGACATTTCTCAAGATTTCCAGGGTTGGGCATTTGGCCTAGCAGTCATGTTTATATCCATGTTGGAGTGCCTAGGTTCAATACCTGGTTACAGCTCCTGACTCCAGCCTCATGCTTTGCAGACCCTGGGAAGCAGCAATGGTGGTTCACATAATTGGTTTCCTGCTATGCATGTGGGAGCCCTGGTTTGAGTTCTCAGTTCCCATGCTCAGTCCTATCTGGTCATGGCCATTGTGAGCTTTTGGGAAGTGGGCCAGTGCATGGAACTCTTCTCTTATCTCTGCCTCTCAAATTAATTAAAAAACCAACATCAAATGGCCAATGATATATATATATGTATATGTATATGTATATGTATATGTATGTATGTGTATATATATATATATCATCATCACTAATCATCAAGGAAATATTAATGAAAACTACAACGAGCTATCCCTTCACACCTGTTAAAATGGCTATTATCAGGGCCAGCGCTGTGGTATAACAGGTAAGCTTTTTCTGAGGCGTTGACATCCCGTATGGGCTCCGGTTAGAGTCGCAGCTGCTCCTCTTCTGATCCAGCTTCCTGCTAATGTGCCTGGAAAAGCAGTGGAAGATGACCCAAGTGTTTGGGCCTACACCCATGTGGGAGACACAGATGATGAATCTCCTGGCTCCTGCCTTCAGACTGGGTCAGCTCTGACCATTTGGGGAGTTACCCAGCAGGTGAAAATGATCTCTCTCTAATTCTGCCTTTTAAATTAATAAGTAAGCCGGCGCCGTGGCTCAATAGGCTAATCCTCCACCTTGCGGCGCCGGCACACCGGGTTCTAGTCCCGGTTGGGGCGCTGGATTCTGTCCCGGTTGCCCCTCTTCCAGGCCAGCTCTCTGCTATGGCCAGGGAGTGCAGTGGAGGATGGCCCAGGTGCTTGGGCCCTGCACCCCATGGGAGACCAGGAAAAGCACCTGGCTCCTGGCTCCTGGATCAGCGCGGTGCGCCGGCTGCAGCGGCGGCCATTGGAGGGTGAACCAACGGCAAAGGAAGACCTTTCTCTCTCTGTCTCTCTCTCTCACTGTCCACTCTGCCTGTCAAAAAAAAAAAAAAAAATTAATAAGTAAATCTTTTTTTTAAGGCTTTTATTAAGAAAGGGAAAACTGGAGGCCAGCATTGTGGTGAAGCATTTCTGGTGTTCTATATAGGACCCAGTTTGAATTTTTTTTTTTTTTTTTACAGGCAGAGTTAGACAGTGAGAGAGACAGAGAGAAAGTCTTCCTTCCATTGGTTCACCCCCCAAATGGCCACTACGGCTGGCTGCACCAATCTGAAGCCAGGAGCCAGGTGCTTCCTCCTGGTCTCCCATGCGGGTGCAGGGCCCAAGCACTTGGGCCATCCTCCACTGCCTTCCCGGGCCACAGCAGAGAGCTGGACTGGAAGAGGAGCAACTGGGACAGAACCTGATGCCCCAACTGGGATTAGAACCCAGGGTGCCAGCACCGCAGGTGAAGAATTAGCTTAGTGAGCTGCGGCGGCAGCCTTTTTTTTTTTTTTGACAGAGTTAGAAAGGTCTTCCTTCCATTGGTTCACCCCCCAAAATGGTTGCTGTGGCCGGCGCTGTGCCGATCCAAAGCCAGGAGGCAGGTGCTTCCTCCTGGTCTCTGATGTGGGTGCAGGGCCCAAGCACTTGGGCCATCTTTCACTGCCTTCCCAGGCCACAGCAGAGAGCTGGACTGGAAGAGGAGCAACCAGGACTAGAACCCAGAGTACCAGTGCCGCAGGCGCAGGATTAGCCTAGTGAGCCGCGGCGCCGGCCCAGTTTAAATTTCTGATCTAGTGCTCTGCCAGTGCACTTGGGAGGGCAGCGGAAGATGACCCAAGAACTTGGGCCCCAACCATTCACGTGAGCAACCTGGTTGTAGGTCCAGGCTTCTAGCTTCAGCAGTTGTGGCCATTTGGAGAGTGAACTAGTGGATGGAAAATACTCTCCATCTGTCTCTCTTTCTCTAATTCTGCCTTTCAAATAAATAAGTGAATCTTAAAAAGGGGCAGATATTATTGCAGACTGTTGATATCATGTAAATTAGTAAAGCCATTATAGAAAACAGTATTGAAGGTCCTCAGAAAATTAAAAATAAAACTATATGGTGCAGCAGTCCCACTACAACCAAAGAAAATCAGTATTTCAGAAAAAGATCTGCATTCCCATGTCAATTGCAGCTTTGGCTTAGATAAGATAGGGACTCAATCTAAATGTCCATCAACAGAAGAAAATGTGGTATACATATATATAATTAAATGCTGTTCAGTCTTAGAAAGGAAATCCTGTCATCAGTTTTTTGTTATTTTTAGAGATTTATTTGAAAGAGTTACAGAGAAAGAGAGACAAAGGAAAAAGAGCATCCATCTGCTAGTTTGTTTACTCCCCAAGTGGCTGCAATGGCTGCAGCTGGGCCAGGTCGAAGTCAGGAGCCAGGAACTTCATCTGATTCTCACATGGGTGCAGGGCCCAAACACTTGGGCCATCTGCTGCTGCTTTCCCAGGCACACTAGCAGGGAGCTGGATCAGAAGTGGAGCAGCCAGAACTCGATCTGGTGCCCACATGGCATGCAGCTGTTGTAGGCAGTGGCTTAACCCACTGTACCTCAGTGCTGGCCCCAATCCTTTCATTCTTGATAACATAGAGGAGCCTGGAAGAAATTATGTCAGGTGAAATAAACCAGGAACAGAAAAACAAATTCTGCATGATCTCACTTATATGTGGAATCTAAAAATGTTGAATTCTTTTTTTTTTAAAGATTTATTTATTTATTTGAAAGGCAAAGTTACAGAGAGAGAGGGAGAGATCTTCCATCTGCTGATTTGTTCCCCAGATGGCCACAACGGCCAGAGCTGGGCTGATCCCAAACCAGGAGCCAGGAGCTGCTTCTGGGTCTCTCACGTAGGGGCAGGGGCACAAGCACTTGAGCCATCTTCTGCTTTCCCAGGCCATAGCAGAGAGCTGGCTCAGAGCAGAGGAACAGCCAGCTCTCAAACTGGCACCCATATGGAATACCGGCACTGTAGGCTGTGGCTTTATCCACTATGCCACAGCGCCAGCCTCCAAAATGTTGAACTCTTAGCAGCAGAGGTTAGACTGATGGCTGTTAGGGGAGAGAGGGTTATAGGGGAAATGTTGGTTCCAGATATTAAAAAAATTTGTTTCAAAGATTTTATTTATTTGAGAGGTAGAGTTACAGAAAGTGAGAGGGAGAGACAGAGAAAAGTCTTACATCCACTGGTTCACTCCCCAATGGCTGCAGTGGCCAGAGCTGCACCGATCCAAAGCCAGGACCAAGAACTGCTTCCAGGTCTCCCATGTGTGTACCGGGGCCCAAGTGCTTGGGCCATCTTCCACCGATTTCCCAGGCCATAGCAGAGAGCTGGATCGGAAGAGGAGTAACCAGGACTAGAATTGGTGCCTACATGGGATGCTGGCGCCACAGGTGGAGGATTGGCCACAGTGCTGGCCCATAAAATTTTTTCTTAATTAAGTTATTTGACTTTTCTCTCAAAAAGTCTTATTTGTTGTGTGAATGTGCTAGTTAGAGTTACAAAAGATGAAAGATTGTCAGACCTCAAGATCTTTACTTAAGATACTTCATGCGGTACGTTTTAACAACTGATATTTGTATGTTTCCAGCAGGAAGATGATTTGAAATGGGTAGAAGAGAATGTTCCTTCTTCTGTGACAGATGTGTAAGTTTTTGAATCATTACCACAAGAATCATATTTCAAAGTTCTGTATTTTTATTAATTTAAATGAATAAACTGAAGAAGAAGAGCTAGATCTTAATGAAAAGATATTGACAAGTTGGGAAAAATAAACAAAAATATTATACATTCAGGTGACATATCTGCTTAGAAAGATTTAGCATAGATCTTTCTAAAATCAATAGGGTAATTTGAGTCCCTTTCCATGGGTGTAATTTAATAAAATATTGATCCTGTCACATTATAGAATATTTTGTGTTTTCTATATAATTTCAGTAACTCAGATTTTAATTTTATTTCCTTTTTTTCTGAAAAGACCGTTAAGAATGTGAAAAACTTAGATAATTACAGTGTGCTCTAATTGCATTCATTACTCCACTGTACTCTGAACTACTTATGGCTGTATTTTACATTGTTTAATTTGGTATTTCTGTCTCTGCAGAGCACTTCCGGCCCTGCTGGATTCAGATGAGGTTAGTAATCAAATCATGTGTATAAACTCTGTGTGGATCTGGTGACTTAACAGGAAGTCATAAATTCTTTGTCCAGGGAGGTTCTCTTTGACTTGGTAATGACCTCAAGAACTGTGGTTGGTAGGGTTGGAAAAGAGTAAGTGTGGAAATACTAATACTATAGCTGACATCGTCAAGGATGTTTCCTTTTTTATGCTTGTCTGTTTGGTAGTGTTTTTATTTAAATTGGTTAACAAACACTGTATTCATCATTGTCTAGCTCCTTTGTCTTTAAGAGGGTAAAATCTAAACAAAAATAATAAAAGAAAAAAAAGTTGAAATTTAAACCTAATGTCAGAACTGATATTGTAGTGTGGCAGGTAAAACTGCCAATGCAACACTGGCATCTCAAACACTGGTTTATGTCCTGGCTGTTCCTCCCAGTTCTGCTCCCTGCAAATGGCCTGGGAAAGCAGTGGAGGATGGCTCAAATCCTTAGGCCTCTGTTCACCCACATGGGAGACCTAGATGGGGCTCCTGACTCCTGGCGTAGGCCTGCCCCAGCATAGGCCATTGCAGCCATCTGGGGAGTGAATCAGTGGATGAAAGATCTTTTTTTCTGTAACTTTTTTTTTTTTTAAGATTTATTTATTTTTTTATTTGAAAGTCAGTTACACAGAGAAAGAAGTCTTCCATCCGCTGGATCATTCCCCAATTGACTGCAATGGCCAGAGCTTCACCGATCTGAAGCCAGGAACCAGGAGATTCTTCAGGATTTCCCGTGCGGGTGCAGGGGCCCAAGGACTTGGGCCATCTTCTACTGGTTTCCCAAGCCATAGCACAGAGCTGGATCAGAAGTGGAGTGGCCGGGACTCGAAGTGGCACCCATATGAGATGCCAGCACTGCACTGTGGCTTTACCCACTACACTGCAGTGCTGGCCTTAACTCTGCCTTTCAAATAAATAAATCTTAAAAAAAAAGTATTTGAATCTAGTATCAGTGAAAATAAATGAAATTATTGAGAAAGGAATATAGTAGATCAAAATGAAAAATGTTATTTTATATCACCTACTGTTGTTCCTATGTCACTGCCATAATAATCAGCACCTCTCTTTTGCCTTGTTTTAAAGAGTTATTTAATTATTTGAAAGGCAGAGTTACAGAGAGGCAGGGCAGAGAGAGAAGGTCTTCCATCTGCTGGTTCACTCTCCAAATGGCCTCAGAGGCTGGAGCAGAGCTGTTCTGCACCCAGGATCCAGGAACTTCTTCCGGTTCTCCGACGTGGGTCCAGGGGACCAATACTTTTTTTTTGTTGTTGCATATTTTACTGGTTTTTTTTTTTTTTTTGTAGTGGCCATGCTAACAGGTGTGAGTTTATATCTCATTGTGGTTTTAACTTGCATTTCTGTGATAGTTAATAATGTAATAATGATGAACATCTTTCATGTACCTATTGGCCATTCATGTGTTTTTTTGTGAAATGTCTAATTCAAGTCCTTTGCACATTTTAAGACTGGATTAGTTTCTTTACTATTGAGTTTTAAGAATTCTTACATATATTGGACATTGATTCCACGTTGGATATATGATTTGCAAATAATTTCTCCATTCCATAGGTTGGCTTTCATTCTGCTGATTATTTCCTTGGCAGTGCAGAGATTTTTCAGTTTGATCTGGTTCTGTTAGTCTGTTTTTGTTCTGGTTGCTTGTGCTTTTGGTGTTGTTCTTAAGAAATCATTGCTGGAGCCACTATGTGGTACATTGTGTTAAATTGTAACCTGTGATGCCAGTATACCCTGTTAGAGCACTGGTTCAAGTCCCTGCTGCTCTGCTTCCAATCCAGTTCCCTGCTAATGTGTCTGGGGAAAGCAGCAGATGACCCAAATTCTTGGGCCCTTGTCACCCATGTGGGAGACCCAGATAAGTTCCACGCCTCTGGTTCTGGCCTAGCCCAGCTACAACCTTTGTGACTATTTGGGGAGTGAAAAGATGGAAGATCCCTTTCTCTCTCTGTCTCTCCCACCTCTCTCTCTCTCTTTCTTTCTGCCTTTCAAATAAATTAAATAAATCTTTTTTTTAAAAGATTTTTTAAAAGATTTATTTAATTTATTTGAAAGAGAGAAGGAGAGACCGAGAGAAAGGTCTTCCATCCGCTGTTCACTCCCCAATTGGCTGCAATGGCTGGAGCTGTGCTGATCCGAAGCCAGGAGTGAGGAGCTTCCTCTGGGTCTTCCCATGTGGGTGCAGGCGCCTAAGGACTTGGGCCATCTTCTACTGCTTTCTCAGGCCATAGCAGAGAGCTGGATCAGAAGTGGAACATCCAGGACTCAAACTGGTGCCCATCTGGGATGCTGGCATTGCAGACGGCGGCTTTATCTGCTTCGCCACAGTGCCAGCTCCCTTTTTTTTTTTTTAAATCATTGTCAACACTAATGCTTCTTAAGCTTATGTTTGGGACTGGCATTTGGCACAGCAGTTAAGATGCTACCTGGAACACTACATCCTGTGTCGGAGTCCTAGATCCACTTCTGATCTTGTTTCCTGCTAAATGTGCCCTGGGGGGTGGGAGGGACAGCAGATTGTGGTTCAAATCATTTGGCCCCCTGCCACCCACCTAGGAGACCCAAATTGAGTTCTGGGCACCCCATTTCAGCCTGGCCCAACCCTGGACGTTAAGAGCATTCAGAGAGTAAATTAGCAGGTAGAAGATTTCTCTCTATTTTTATATCTCTCTGCTTTTCGAGTAAATAAATTAAATTTTTAAATCCCCTCAAAAATTTTTTGAAAGAAAGCCTATGGTTTTTTCTAGGAGTTTTGCAATTCCGCATAGGTTTAAGTCTTTAATCTGTTTTGAGTTGATTTTTTATATGGTGTAAGATTAGAGTTGCATTTCATTATTTTGCATGTGAATATCCTGTTTTTCCAGCATTGTTTGTTGAAGAAACTGTTCTTTCTTCTGTAGTCTTGGCACTGTTTTTAAAGATCATTTATTTGATTGTGTGTGTGTAGATTTATTTCTGAGCTATTTTGTTCCCTTTGTCTATATGTCTGTCTGTATGCCAGTACTCTACTGTTTTAATTACCATAGCTATGTAATATATTTTGAAGTCTGGCAGTGTGATGCCTCCAGCTTTGTTCTTTCTCAAATTACTTTTGCTGTTGGAGTCTTATTTTTTGGTTCCTTATGAATTTTAGTTTTTTTTTCCCCATTTCTGTCAAAAATGCCATTGAGATTTTTGACAAGGATTGCATTACATAGGTAGATTACTTGGGGTAGTGTGTATATTTTAGTGATATTAGTTTTTCCCAATCCATGAACATGGTCCTTTGCTGTTAGTATTCAAATTCAGGCAAGACAGAAACCTGTCCCTTCAGGAGTTTTGGAAAAGTCAGAATGTGGGATGTACCTTCCAGTGTTTTCCTTTCCTCCCCAGGGAGCAGCCAGGAGCTGAGGGGTTCCTTCAGCTCTCTTGGTGCTGTGCCATGTTAAGGGAATGGATCATGGTGAGAGAGTACCTTTGCATTTTCTTGATTGGTTTCATTCTCCCCACGGTGTAAGAGTCCTTCAGCTGGATTCTGGGTTTCTCACAAAGGGACTGTCCCATGTCTTGTTGAATCTGTGTGTTTGTGTCTGTGGAGGGAAGGAGGGCATTCCTGACCTGCTGTCTTGCGATACTACTCTCTGCAAAGCCTTTCCTTTTTTTTTTTTTCTTTTTTCTTTTTTTCTTTTTTTTAAGATTTATTTACTGGAGCCAGTGCTGTGGCATAGCAGGTAAAGCCACAGCCTGCATTCCATATGGGTGCTGGTTTGAGTCCCAGCAGCTCCACTTCTGATCCAGCTCTCTGCTATGGCCTGGGAAAGCAGTAGAAGATGGCCCAAGTCCTTGGGCCCCTGCACCCACGTGGGAGACCTAGAAGAAGCTCCTGGCTCTTGGCTTCAGATCAGCACAACCACCATTTGGGGAGTGAACCAGCGGATGGAAGACTCTGTCTCTTTCTCTCTCCCCCTTTCTGCCTCCCCCTCCGCCTCCTTTAAAAAAAAAAAAAAAAAAAGATTTGTTTATTTATTTGAAAGGCAGAGTTACAGAGAAGCAGAGACAGTGAGAAAGAGAGGTCTTCCATCTGCTGGTTCACTCCCCAAATAGCTACAGTGGCAGGAGTTTGGCTGACCTGAAGCCAGGAGCCTGGAGCTTCTTCCAGGTCTCTTGGGCCATCTTTCACTGGTTTCCCAGCCATTGCAGAGAGCTGAAATGGAAGTGGAGCAACTGGGACTCGAACTGGTGCCCATTCTGGATGCTGGTGCTGCAGGTGGCGGCTTTACCCACTCCACTGTAGCACTGCCTCCAAGGCCTTTGCTTTTTTAACAATAATGAAAAATAATTGAATTGCAGGAGAAATAACATACATAAAGGACCAGGAATCAAAACAGCACCACCCTCTTCAAAAGTAACTTTGGATGCCAGAAAATTTGGGAACAATGCATTTGAATTATGAGAGGTTTTTTTTTTTTTTTAAGTATGTATCTATTTATTTGAAATTCAGAGTTACAAAGAAAGGAAGAGACACAGAGAGATTGATCTTCCATCTGCTGGTTCACTCCCCAGGTGGCTGCAATGGCCAGGGCTGGGCCAGGCCAAAGCCAGGAGCCAAGAGCTTCATCCAGTTCTCCCACATGGGTAGCAAGGGCCCACGTAGTTGGGCCATCTTCCACTGCTTTTCTCAGGCCATTAACAAGGAGTTGGATCAGAAGTGAAGCAGCTGGGACACAAACCAGTGCCCATATGGGATGCCATCAGCGCAGGTGGTGGCTTTACCTGCTGTGCCACAATGTCAGCCCCAAGCAGAATTATTTTCAACCTTCTATACCAGACGAATCAATATGAGGGTGAAATCAAGAATGTTTTCAGTTACACCAGAAATGAAATAATTGACATCCTGTATCCATGTGTGGCTTTTCAGGAAAATAGTGGAAAGCAAAGAGCCTGGAGTTTATTCTAGGTCTTCCACATGGGTGCAGGGGCCCAAGGACTTGGGCCATCTTCTGCTTTCCTAGGCCACAGCAGAGAGCTAGATAGGAAGTGGAGCAGCCAGGACTCGAACTGGCACCTATATGGTATGCGGTGTTGCAAACAGTTGCTTTACCTGCTACACCAAAGTGCCAGCCCCAAGAGTTTACAGTTCCTATAATGCTGATTATCTTTGTCCACATCATTGATTAGGTTTTCAAGTTAAATTCCTGAATCAGAGGAGGTACAAGTTTTTATTAAAACTTAAGATTAAGTAGCTATTTGTTTAATTATCTGTTGACTCTGAAATGTACATTTCCTTCTGAGTTGTGGTTTGCTATCCAGAAAGCTGGAGATTTTGATTGATTTAATTTTCTCAACATTTTCATGAATGTTTAAGGAGCCATTGATCTAAATATTTAATTGACAAAAATCCTTGTGGAAAATGTGTGTTTGACTAGTGTGTGTAGAGATATTTGAAATATAATTACTATACCTAGGTGGGCAGGTCTACTACTAGTGACACCCTCATCCCACATCAGAGTGCTGATTAAGCCCCAGCTGCTTCCCTTCTGATCCATCTTCCTGCTAATGATGGCTTACATACTTGGACCCCTATTTCCCATGTGGGAGGCCTGGACAGAGGCATGGGCTCCTGGCTTTCACCTTACCCAGCCCTTGCTATTGCAGGCGTTTGGAGAGTGAACCAGCAGATGAAGATATCTCTGTCTCTTTGTCTAGCTGCCTTTCAAGTAGATGAGCATAAATAATTATTAAATTTTTTTCTTCCTAGGAACGAATGATCACACACTTTGAAAGGTCCAAAATGGAGTAAAGAATGGGAAGATTGGCAGTTCAAGATGTTTAGTATCAGGGAAGAGATCAGCCCCTGTGTCAGTCTTCTACACTGCTCTGTGAGATTAAAGGAAGCAATGACATCCTGATCTGTTCCTTGATCTTTGTGCACTGGAGCTGGCGAGAGGTGTCAGAACAAGGAGAGCATCTTACTGAAAACAATTTCATAGGATGAGAAAAATCTGCAAGCTTCTCATTTACAACATTGATGCCCCTGTCCCTCCCCAGCCCTGACATGGATGTTTATGCAACTTATCTATGTTGTTCCTGAACTTCCTGTGTTTCAGTTGTTTAATCTGTCAAACTAAAAAGTTTAACGCCTTCAAAAGGACTGTATCATCAACACCATGATGTGTAATCTCCAGGAGCAACTGCCTGTAATTTTTATTTATTTAGGGAGTTACATGGGTGATGGGGGAAATTGGTAATTATCTTTTGGTTTCCTGGGAAGTCAAGGTTACATCTTGCAGAGATTGTTTTGAGAAAAAGGGGCCCCTTCTGAGTTAAGGTGCCATGGTTGTATAAATAATTGAAAGAAAAAGAAACTGTTACAGTGTGATTCAGATCATATAAAAACAAAATCAAGTGCAATTTTGTTTACAAAATGGTGTATATTGAAGATTTTTCTATTTCAGATGTACTTTAAAGAGAAATATTTGCTTAACTCTTTTGACATCTGCTATTGTGACATATCCCATTGCTGGCAATGTGGTGCACACTCCGAGACTTTTAACTACTGTTTTGTAAGCCTCCAAGGGCAGTGTGGCAGAGTCCTGGGCAGTGCTTTGTTGGCCTTCGTGCTTTCCACTGTGTGTTGCATTAGCTGCAGAGCGGTGCTCCGTCTCACGTGCTAAGAGAGAGCATCTTGCCAGAGCACCTTCAGAAGAGGGAGCTGCAAGAAAGGAAACAGGTGCAGGGGGCTTCATTTCAGTGATTGTTGCCTGAAGTAGCGTGGCGCTCCTGGACTGCTGCTCCTTCCTCAGGGTTGCAGGCTTGACTGGTCCAGTATCTGGCGGTAGTTTAGAAGCTGTTTATAAGGGATGTCACACGGTGATGGGATTCACTTGAAGCACTATATTTCTGTTTTAATGGTTTTATCCAATTTGCCTTCCCAAGAGTTTTGTTCTACATAAGTTCATGCCACTTTTTAATATAAAAATTTTAACAAAAATTAATAGATTTTTCTCATTTTTTCCATACTCTCTCAAAAGAACCTTCTGTCTTCCATATTCTCTTGGGGACATTTTCTTTTCACGGCTTTTATTCTGGATTATCTTGCTTTCTGTTGAAACCAGTAAGTACACTGCCCACATGACCACTGTTCACTGGCTCCTGCTGTGGTGGAAGTGCTAACATGTATGTACCATTTCTCTATAGCTCTTTGGTGATTTTTTAAGAAGTCACCAAGGCAGTATCTCTAAGGAACAACAGTATGAGTAGCTGACTATATTTTTGTGCCAATAATACATTAGCAACAAGCTGGTGGTTTTGTCTTGTGTTGCTGTTGCACAGTAATAAGAGTTACAATGCAACAAGGCAGTTGATCAGTGTACTTTATAGGGCTTGATGTTGACTTGAGACTAGCAGAAAGCCCTATTATATAAAATAAGAGTGTATAGTTCAAATTTTAGACCCTGGGGTCTGCTAATTCCAGCTGTTGTTTACTGTTACTGGGACTGGAAATAGTTTTTTATTTCTTAGGACAGATCCAGAAGGAATTTGTAGTTTCACAGTGACCTATTTATTTTGGTGGTTTGCTTAGGCCTGGAACTAAAAGGTACTAGACCTTCTTCCAGCTCCGCTCTGGTAATTCTAAATTTTCAAGAAGGTGACCAACTTCTGTGGGAAAAATATCATAATATAAGGTTTGCTTAGCAATTTCTGTTTATTCTGGCTACTTGAAAATACTCTTTCATTGCCTTCAGAATAGCATTTGGTAAAGGTGGCACAAGGATCCCTACATTTATAATATAAAAACAAAATGACCAGGACCAGTTTTTTGTTTTGTTTTGTTTTTCACAGGCAGAGTTAGACAGTGAGAGAGACAGAGAGAAAGGTCTTCCTTCCATTTGTTCACCCCCCAAATGCTGCTAACGCTGGCACTGCGCTTCCTCCTGGTCTCCCATGTAGGTACAGGGCCCAAGGACCCGGGATATCCTCCACTGCACTCCCGGGCCACAGCCCTGCAGGCGCAGGATTAGCTAAGTGAGCTGAGGCTCCGGCCTGTTTTAACATATACTATAATCAGCCTTTTCTTTAACATTTTTGCTTTCAACTCAAATGCTAGTCTTGAGATATATGTTTTTGTAGGGACAATTACCAAATACAAAAATTCTTGCAGCTCAGATTTAGCTTTTTTGTTTTTCAAGTCTCCAGGGTGAATACTAAGGTAACCTCAGACAGTACAGAACCATTAGGATGGAAGAGCCGTGTCACTGCTTCCTAAAAGGAATATTAAGATTTAAGATTCAGCTTGTTAGACTTAATTGGTAGGAATGTATTTACCAATTTAAAAAGAGCTTTATTTTTCTATCTTCCAAGACACCAACCTCTGGCTGCATGTTAGAAATGCTCCTTTGAGGGCCCTGTGCTGAGTCAAAATCTGCATTATAAGAGTGTCTCCAGGTGATCTGTGTGTGCATTAAATTTGAGAAGCACTAGCCTGTTCAAGGTGGTCACTGACGGGACATTGGGCAATCAGACATCTTTGTTTCTGTGTCTGGGCAGCAGGGCAGTGGCATCTGTCCGCTGAGTAGTTCAGGGATGCTGCTAAGCATCCTAGCATTGCCAACAGAGACCTCTCCCCGCCCCCATTATCCTGCCCTCAGTGTCAACAGTGCTACAGGTCTACAGTTGAGAAACCAGCCTGGAAAGGTAAAGCTTGTGTGCAGACTCACCTTGGGGATTTGGCTAAAACACACACCGCTGTTCCCCTCCATAAATTGATTCAGTAGAGCTACAGTGAGGCCCGAGACTTCATCACAGGTGATGCTGTTGCTTCTGGTCCGGAGCCCCACACTTTGAGAACCTGGGGATCCAAGGATTAACTCTCCTAAGGTACAGCTGAATTTTCTAAATGCCAGATCTCCATCCCAAGTCTGACGCTAAAGTACGAATACTTAACCGCCACGTTCATTGCCTAAGACAGAGCTAAGATTCAAATTTCTTCTTCCTTTCAAGCCCTTAGCTACTTTAGGCACCACCACGGAGAAACTAGGTCCAGGGCGAAGATAGGAACCTGGGCGCCAGCAAATTCCTTGAGGGGACTTTGGGAGCCAGGACGGAAGGGGCGGGACCTAGACTGCGGAAGGGGCGGGCGCAGCCGGCAGGAAGTCCGGGCTTGACGATGGCTGTGTTGCTGAAGGCCCTGTAGTGGGGGGTCCTGGGCCGAATCTCGGTCTACCCCTAACCCGGCCTCGTTCAGGCCACAAGCCTGCGGGACGCAGGGCGAGACGAGGGCGGCGCTTGTCTGCTCGCCGCCATGCACGACGCTTTCGAGCCGGTGCCGATTCTGGAAAAGCTGCCTCTGCAGATCGACTGTCTGGCTGCCTGGGGTGAGCCGAGGGGCGGCGGGGTCGAGGCCAGGTCAGGGCGGGAGCAGCTGGGACCTTTAGCTAGGCTGGGCAAGTGGACAGGCATCTGGCTGTATGCACTCTGGTCGGATGCTCCCCGAGAAGGACCTGGATGACGGAGGGCGGAGGGATGACCGCCGGCCGTAGACAGCGATGTCCCTGGGGCTGCTTGGGCGATCCCTAGCGACCTAGGCATTTTAGGGACGTGCCGCTTCCGTTTGCTCTGTGCGTAGTTAGAGGCTGAGCTTTCCTTATTAATTGTGCTCAGTTTGGGCCCGTGTTGTTTCCCAAGCAGTCTTTTGCGTAGAGGACAACAAAGTGGGAAAATTTCAGTCTGCCAGGGACTTGAACTTGTCCAAAGGATTGTGTTGTTTTCTAGGTGAAAGACAGCACTGGTCTTTAGACATGGAACAAGTTAACGCTATGCACTTTTTTCCCCCTTAGTGATCACTCATACATCTACTTCTCATTTTTGTAGGTGGCTCACATAGTACTCTAAGCTTTTAACCTAGCCAGGTAGTTGATTGCTTTGTATTCAAAGTGTCCAGGTTGTCTAACTCTGTAGGTAGAAGAGCATCATACCAGACTGCATGACACCTAACCCATAAGCATTATCATAATCCTCTTGGAATTGGCTAGTGCAGAAGGCATGGTCAGGCATCTCTTGTGTGCTCTGGGATACAAATGAAAGTTGCAGAGGTCCAAACCTTGACTATTAGCTGGGAGTGGTTGTGTCTGATAACAGCCAACAAAGAAATAATTTCAGTCTGTCCCACTAGTGTTCAGGTCCTGGAAACTAAGGACCACAAAAAGTGGCTCATAACTTTAAGCAGATCTTATCCTGAACTAGGTGCCCCTGATGGCGGTGTGGAATCTTAGTGGTGGCTGGCATCCTGCACACTCTGTTGACAGTGCTGTTCACTCGTCTGTGCAGAGTTCTTCCTGGCCTTTGCAGTGGGATTCCCTTCCTCCCTTCCATTTTGCACACCCCCACCCCCCAATGCATGGAGTTCATTTGTTACAATCTTCATGTAGATGTGGGCCCCTCTAAAATCACACCTCCCTACTGAGCTCTCTTGGGCCTTTGGATTAAGAAATAATCCTACTTCCTCCAGACATCTCAAGAAAACCTCCATTTCCTGCTGTGAATTGGTCTCAGTAAAAATTAAAAATGGAGCAAATAAAGAAATTAACAAAATGAAGGACCTGAGACTCTACAGAGGGCTTCATTCCCTGATTGCTCCCTCAAGTCTGTATTAGGTGCCTGCATGGTCCCCTTCCCTCTGCTGGGGACGGGAATACAAGGAGGAATGAGCATGCCCCTGCTTGTAGGACACACAGTGGGGGACAAGACCCAGGAACAGATGAGGATACAAGAGAAGTGACAGTGGAGGCATGTGCTGCCTGTTACTGTAACACGGTCAAGGGCGCCCAGCTCAGCTGAGCACAGATGCTTCTGACCAGGGCGGACACCACTGCCTGCCATGCTTGACCTGGCACATCTGAGTCATTGACTGTGGTCCCTGCACATCTCTTAGACTCGCTCACCAACTCCGCTTGCATAATGAAGATTCCTGTGCCTGTGCTTTTCAGGAACACGATTTTGAAGTGCCAGGCTTTCGGCCTGCCTCGGTTACTTACCAAGCCACAGAAATGCTCTTTGCCTCCTTGGGCGCTGTGAAAGATCCTGAGCTGCAGGAAGCCATGTACTGCCTCCTGCCTCCAACTACTTTGTTTTCATTCTTTCACAGCAAGAATCACTGCTCTTTCTAGTCATTGTGCCTTTTATTTGCATGTGTCCCTAGCTGGAAAGTGCATCCAGGAGCCAGATGACACAGGGCAGACAGCATTTGAGCAGGAAGGTATCTTAGAGGCAGCACAGGCCTTCCCCTGGGAAATGGAAATGAGGAGGACTCCACTCCAGCAAACCGTGATGTTCCCCTGCATCCCGCAACCCAGCAGCTGGCCAGAAGCCTTGGCACAGTGTTGACTTTTCTCATCCTCGCACTCTGCATCCTTTCTATCAGCAAATCTTGTCTGTCATACCACCAGATTAAATCTGAAATCCAGTCATTTCTCTTCATCTGAGCGATTACTACTCATCTGTTTGAAAGGCAGAATCACATACAGAAGGAAAGAGAGAAAAAAAATATTGAGTAGTCTGCCATGCACTGGTTCACTCTCCAAAAGCCCATAATAGCTGAGGCTGGGTCAGGCCAAAGCCAGGAGCCTAGAATTCTGTCTGGCTCTGTCTGCCATACGGGTGCAGGGGCCCAAGCACTTGAGTTATCATTTGCTGCACTTCAGGATACATTGGCAGAAAGCTGGATCAGAAGTAGAGCTGGCACTCCAATATGGTGTGCAGCTTAATCCATTTGCACCACAGTGTCTGCCCCACTTATTAACTACTCTTGACACCATCATTTCTCTTTGTTTGCCTTTGTTCCATTTTAGTTGTTTTTGTTCATGGAGGTAGAATGGACCTTTGAAAACCTCAATCTGATCATACCTGCCTTTTGCTCAAACCCTCCAGTGGCATCACATCACATCTAGAATAAGTTCCCAAGTCCTTATGCTTGTTGGCAACGCCCAACACGATTAGCTTCTGGTCACTTCCTGACTTTATTTCCTGTACACCTCCCTCTTGCTTCTTTCTGGTACCAGTCTCACCATTTTCCTATTTTTTTTTTTTTTTAAGATTTATTTAATTTGTTTAAAAGGCAGTTACAGAGAGAGGGAGAAACAGAGAAAGAATCTTCCATCTGCTGGTTTACTCCCCAAATGGCTTCAATGGCTGGAGCTGGGCCAGGCCAGTGCCAAGAGCCAGGAGCTTCTTCCTGGTCTCACGTGGGTACAGGGGCCCAAGGACTTGGGCTGTCCTCCTCTGCTTCCCCAGGCCCATTAGCAGGGAGCTGGATTGGAAGTAGAGCAGCCAATATTCGAACCAGCACACATGTGGGATGCAGGCACTGTAGGGCATGGCTTTAACCCACTGTGCCAGAGCACCAGCCCCTATAAATTTAATTGTTATGGTTTCTCTTCACATAAGTAAGTTCCTTGGCCTGGTAGTCAAGACGCTGCTTGGGAGGCCAGTGTTGTGGCGTAGTGTGTTAAGCTGCTGCTTGCAACGTTGGCATCCCAAATCAGGTGCATCTTGAGTCCTGGCTGCTCTGCTTCCAATCCAGCTCCCTGCTGGTGCTCCTTGGAAAGCAGCAAGAGATGTCCCAATTATTTGAATCCCTGCCACCCAAGTGGGAAACCAAAATGGAATTCCTGGCTCCTGGCTTCAGCCTGGCCCATCCCCAACTGTTGTGGCCATTTGGGGAGTGAACCAGCAGTTTCTTCTTCTTCCTCTATCTGTGTCTCCCTCTCTCTCTGGTACTCTGCCTTTCAAATAAATGATATAAATCTTTTCCCAAAAAAAGACAATTGCTTGGGGCCTCTGCATTCTATATTAGACTGCCTGGGTTAAAGAGTCCCAGCTCTGTTTCCAATTCGAGCTTCTGGCTAATGCCAGTCCTTGGAAGTGCAAGTAATTAGGTCCCTGCCATCCATATGGGAGACCTGAATTAAGTTCCTGGCTCCTGGCTTTGGCCTGTCCCATCCTGGGGCATTTGGGGAGTGAGTGAACCAGCGAATGGGAGATTTGTCTAAGCTAGCTCTCTCTCTCTCTCTCTCTCTCTCTTTTTTTTTTTTTTTTTTTTGTTTTCTCTTTCTACCTTTTGAATAAAGTAAATAAAAATTTAAAAAAGTAAGTTCCTTCAGAGCAAGAATTTTGTTTGGTATATTTACAAATTTAGCTGTATCTACATTTCCTGAAAAAGTTCCTGATTCAGTGGGTATTCATTAAATCTTTGATAAATTAATAATGATATTAATAGTAATGTCTTCTATTAACTGAGTAATGGTCTTTATTAGTCTTTTATGAAGTTAATAACACCCCCATTTTACAAGGGAAGAACCTGATCATAGAGAATTTAAGAGATTTTTCCAAAATCAGTATCCAGCAAGTGATGTCTGATTCCAGAGCCTGGTTGTCAGATTTAATGTGTGTGTGGAGCCTGTGAAACATGCAGATTCTGTGTGTGTGTGTGTGTGTGTGTGTGTGTGTAGAATACATAATATATTTCTATTTTCCAAAGAAACTGTGGAGAGATAAACGAGCAGTCACTAAAATGATCTCCATGGTGGAATGGAGAGGGAGTGTGGAACACACTGATGGTAGCTAGACTTATATGAATTATGTCAGTGTTTCATGTAATTAAGGAAGGAAAGGAAAGGGGAAATGCAGCATACTGCCACAGGGTCTTGAACCAGAATCTCCGGGTGCGGGTCTCAGCCACATGCATTTTCAGTAAGTCCAAGTGGCCCGGATGCAGATAATCAAGGGTGGGCTTTGAGAGACACTCCTCACCTTGGGACTCAAAGGTGAGAGATGACCACTGCCTCGCTCAGCACTGTGCTCCCTGTGGTGGCCAGCACGGGCCAGGAAAGCAGTCACTTATAACATGCGGTTGGGCCGTGTGGCCTTGTTGGCCAGAGCTTCTTTAGAGTACAAGCAAGAGGGCCCAGCTCACCTCCCACGAGGGATCCGGGAGTTGTCTGGGGCTGACTCTGCTTTGTTTAGGTGTGTGTTACCTGTGCGTGTAGCATGTTCCATTTTCTTATGCGCAGTATTGAGTCCCAGGAGACTTGTGTTGTGTGTA